GTTACGAGCGACCACTATGAAACAGGGTAGAACAGAGGGTAAGGGTGTAAGAGTAAGGTTAGGATAGGATTAGGGGCACTAGTCGAGTAGTGATGTCCTGGCTCAGAGGGTGGCCATTTTGTTCGAAATCAGTTTGGGAATCCCCAGTTTGTAATTTACAATCATCATCATTATTCATGTGTGGGTATATGAAGGGAAGCCTTTGCTTTAAAAAAAAGAAAAGAAAAACCTCCACTTAATATTTTTTTAAATCTCATTTTTTCACTAAAATCTAAATCTATCTAATTCTATACATCAATGTGTGTATACACATGTATTATAATTTATTAATTAGGCTATTAGTTTAGTAATTTTTACTAACTGTTCTGACTTCCCATTTTCATTAATTGTGGCCTATGAAATTACTATCTTTTCAACAACTGATGGCATTACTTTCAATGCCCATGGCCATTGCCGTAGTGTGAGTTGTCACTAAATGCAATTCAGTTTCTGGTCCTCTGCTACTACTGTAACTTGTAGGCCTACATGTATTGCCTTGTTGTTATATATTGTGATGGATTTGCTGCTCTAACATTTTAAAAAGAGGTGACTAATTCTTTGGTTGACTGGGTATGGTTTTTCAGAGTTTTTTACGTTTTCTGACTAATCCGACGGTCATAGAAGCTAAGAAGTGCCTCAGGATTTGTGATGAATGTAGACAGCAATGACTGTGAAGCACAAATACTGACGAGTCACGGCGTCACTTTTCGCCCGATTCTGTTACTTTTAGTTCGCGTGACTCAGCAGCCCGCCGGAGCTCCCCGGCTCGGGGTCACGGGGTTAATGAGCCCTGAAGCGACTTTGCCGCTGTCGGTCAGGAAGTTCGCATTTTTGACTATGTTTAAAACGATATAACTTCTTCCCCATCCCACATAGCAAACCATTACGCGGATGTACTAAAAGCTCAATGTCTTGAGATTTATTCTGCGTTAGAATGGTTAGTTTCTGTGCCTTAGTTTTTGCTCTAGACAAGTGTTTGTAGAGTACCCAATTTGTCCTATTTTAGTTACAAACTTATGAATAAATGATTGTTAATTTTTAAAAGGCACGACAGATCTCTCCAAAATTTGTGTTAAACTGACTACGAATATCATGTCTTTTACCATGAGAAATCTTAAATCTGCGCTAGTAGTAATAGTCAAGTTATAAGAGAAGAAAGATGCACATCTGCTTTTTTAAACTAAAAACGATCAGCGTTAGCTCTTATTTTACTATTAAACAAGAGAAAGTTACTCTGTGTTTGTTCATGAATCATGCTGTGTCTGTGGCAGCCTGCATACAACTAAAAAGATATAATATAAGCGATTAAAAAAACCACAAAACCGTGTAAATATATGGGTAGAGATAAACTTCTTGTATGGAATAAAAATAATGACAGCTGAAACATTCATTCTTAGTTTTTGTGTAGGAAATATGCGCGGACACAATTATGAATGTAAAGAAATCAGTCACATTGTCAGTTATTGCAAATGGTCATAGAAACGGAAAAAAAGCTGGAAAAGTCTGGTGCTGATTCAGTGTCCCTGGAAAGCTAGAAATTATTCTTATAACCCAATTACGAGAAGTCATCCCTATTATTCAGTCAACTTACAAAACCTAGACTTAGCGTTTTAAGGAAAGTAAGGAATTTCTGGAATGTAACAGATACTGTTCGTGTATTAGATCTACGTTGAAGAGGTATTCTAGCACTAAAATCGATTTATACTTTTCATAGAGAAACTTCATGGTAACTTTTATAAACTTTCGAGAAAATATGCGAATATTCACGATTATATTAGACACATAAAGTTGTATTTGGAGGAATTACTTCATAGCGAATTGTGTGCTCGATGGATAAAATTGTAAAAATACAGCCTTCTATTATAAGCGCAGATACCATCTTTTCTGAGTATCTGCACCAAAGCTATGTCGTTCATGTTCCAAAAGTTTGACAGATTTTGACGATGCCTTTTTTTAATATTGATTTTTTTTCATTCACGCTAGTCAAAAAAAAATTACAATTTAGCATTGCCGACTCCAGCGCGTCTAACGAAATAACCAGACAAGTTACAACGTCCGTTCTTTTTTGAGTCTCAAGAGCAGAAATGCGTGCTTTGGATGCACTAAATGAGAATTACCATAAATACAAGGATACACCTTAAATTGTACGTTGAAAAGTACCAAAAATTAGGTCGGCCCAGAAAGAGCGGCGACAGGGAGCTGACCGCCGTGACCCCGACGTGATAAGGCGCCCGGCGGGGAACCCCCCGTGGCAACTAAAATTCCACTGCCGGTGCACTGTGGAGTAAGAATGCATATATATTAGCCTAGATATCATGTGTTTTAAATCTTTTTCCAGAACGCAATTGAACTGACCATGAACATTTTTACTTCTACTTGCCACACTCCTCTCTCTTTAAGAAAAATTATGATGGCATAGAAGTTGAGCAACAAACACTAACAATGTCATCATTTAGAAGCTGCCCCCAAATGATTTTTCAGCATACCTTTATTAAATGCGAGGAATTCTGATAACGACTTATTTCCTAATTCTTGTCACTCTATGTGAGGAGTTTTGGGAATGAGGGTTGTGTCTCAGGACAGTCTGGGGGAATCTAGGGTTGGCACCAAACAAAGAAATAACTAGCATCAAGATTAGTCTGCACATATATTATCGTTCCCAACATTTCAGCATCATCATCATCAGCATCATCACAGACCAAGTATTTTTCTATTTTGTTGTTTTGTTTTTCTTGAAACATAACAATTTCTACCATGTTGACACATTTTCACATTGAATGTAGTGTACAAATATTAGCACCAAATCAGACAAGGGACAAAGAAAGAATTAGGCCCAAGTTTTGGAGGCTCACCTGAGATTTCCAATAGTACACTACTAGCTGTCATAGTCGAAGGCCTTCAGCCTTTGAAAACACAATGTTCTAAGTCTAAGGGATTTTTAAATGTTGGTATAAAGTTGGGGTAAAAGTAAGTAAGTTGCCATCTCATACCCAGTCCCCATTTGGGGATCGGTTTGGTTCTGGTCTTTTTCTTGTGGTTTCAGTGCACACTGCTCCCTGCCACTATTGCATCCGATGACCCAGTTTGAATGTTGCGGCAGTCTTGAATCCCATAAACATGGAAAGGATAGATCTCAATGACCTTCTCAAGGTCGACGGAGTCCATTTTGTTATAGAATTATGAATTGTAATTAGTTATGGTATTTCATGCGAAAATCCTGACCTTTGCATTGCAGTGTCAAGATGGTCATGTGACTTGTAGGTTACAAAGCCTTGTTGTCATTGGCTGTACACAAATCGATTGCCCGACTCACAGCCTTGAAAACAAACACGTTTGTTTTTTAAGGTCACCATCGTCTTCGGTTGGTTTGTGCCACAATGATCGCTTTTCGCCCTCAATATGTGGCTAGTCCTGCCTACCGAACTGAACCGAACCGAACTGAACCGAACCTAACGGATCATGCCAATGGGAACTGGGTAAAACAGCTAAAATAACTTCAGCCATAAAAGCAATACAAATGTGAAGCGTGTTGACAAAATGAGTTATAACTCGGATTCGAGTCTTTATGAAATAGATACATCACGTTTATAGATGAAGTTTTTACAAAAAATAAGTGTGAAACGATAAAAGACAGGTTATAGTTTTAAAAAATATAGCAACAATCGAGAACCTACAATTTTGACCCCAATGTCGATTTTTGGCCCATATCTCCATTTGTGCTGTGCGAGAAGTTACTCATTTTGTCTGCACACCTCACAAATGTTTTTATCTAAACTAAAGGTGTGTTTCCGAAGTTTATCCCTACATGAAACCCCGTAGATGTCAGAGTCTCCACATACCCCAAACTTTTTTAAACATGGTCTGAGCTCGAATTATACTATTAATATATTGCATAACAATGAGTCATAAAAGATCAAGTTCATTGTGTAATATTGTAATGATAAAACAAATGAGAACAATTTGTGTCATGTCGCGGTGGAATGAGGCGCTCATATGTATTTGGAATTTATTCATAAAATTTGTCTTGCTTATAATGAAAAAAAATACCCGTCTCTATCTTAAATAGAAGTTGAGATATTTGTGATTGAAGACGTGGGAGGGGGGGGGGGGGGGTTGTTTCACCTGGTGTCAGAGGTAAAATTAGCAAGAAACTGGTCACATAAGTTTTGTGATTTCCAAAGCTTGAGTGAGTGTCTGTGGGAACTGCAAATTTACCCCCTTTTTTTGTGTGCCTTTGATTAATATAATCCACAGAGAAATGTGTTTTTAAATCGATATAAAAGGTGTTGAGCTCAAAATTAAAAATCTGATAAAGATTGCCCAACGGATGGAAAATGTCAGTTTATCTGATTTCATTATTTTGCCAAGCACCTGATTCCACCATGCTGCAACATATTTATGTGTATTTATTCTGAAACTTCAAGGTCGTGAATTGTACTTTCCCATTTATCGCCCATCACACACGGTAGTGGTGATCCCACCCCTTAAATAAGCTTACAGTGTGATAGGGGCATTGAACCTAAACTATTTTAAAAAATGTTAATCCTGTTTTATTCTTATAGTTCTGTGCTCCTTTGAGTCCCAAGTTGGCACATACCTCATTTTATACTCCTGGTGGCACCAACTTTTTTTTTTTTTTTGCAAACAGAAGAAAAAGTTTCTGAAATTGACCAATCTGTCTGTTTTGGTTCATGTAGAATTAAGATCAGCTGAGGGGTTCAAGGGTTATGAGTATGAGTTTCATTTGATGTAGGTGTTGTAGAAGCTGCAGTCTGAAGTTATGGGAAAGAAGATAGAGTTAAGGCTCTCTAGTTACCTTGTCTATGAACTATTTATGTGGGAAAGCGGACAGCCGGAGTTTGACTTGGTGTTGTGAAATTGAAATTACTGACTTTGGAACAGAGCACATGAATTTGATCTAAATTGATTGTGAGGATGTGGTTTTTCTTTTTCCATTACAGGCAGTTGAGAGGATCCACCAATCTGTCATGTCCATCTACACTCAGAGAATAGATCCGGGTATGATATGATTTTTCCTACTTTATGGTGTATTTATTTATGTGTGTTTGAGTGTGTGAGTAAAGTGTGTGTGTTTGTGTTTGCATATGCATATTTTGTTGTTTTTTTCAATTTTTTAAAATATACCGGTGTCTATGATGTAATGGTTAAGCTCTTCGCTTTGCTCGCAGAAGATTTGAATTTAAATTCCCACATGTGGAAGATAATTTTATAAGGAACCTCTGTCTTTTTACTTTGATGTGGTATCTTCTTTTCTATCCCGTGGTTGGAGCAACCATGGGGGCACCACTGTATCTGAAAACCAGCTCTCGCCATTTATGTTTGTGCTCTGCTTTCCTCTGATTGTCATCCATCGTCTTTCCTGTCCACTCTGTTATGTTGTCCTCCCATCTCCTTCTCTGCCTTCCTCTCTTTCTCTTTCCCTGTACGGTTCCTTGTTGGATTGTTTTGGCAAGTCTTGTTGATCTTGTGACATGCCCGTACCATTTTAATTTCTCTCTCTTCACTGTGGTCAGTAGATTTTCGTTCTACCCACTGCGTTTGGTGATTCTGTTCCTTACCTCAGCATTTGAAACGTGGTCTTTGTACGAGATGTCAAGGAGTCTGCGGTAACATCTCATCTCTGTTGTCTGAATCCTTTTCTCCAATTCTGCTGTCTGTGTCCATGACTCGCAGGCATATAAAAATATTGAGATGACCAGTGAGCACTTTAGTCTGATCTTCGAGTTGGGCATGATGTTTCTGTCCCTCCAAATAGACTTCTGTTTTGACAGCGCAGCTGTTGTTTGCGCGATTCTGGAGATAATTTCTGGTCTTGAGCCTTCATCTGAGACAATTGATCCAAGGTATTTGAAGCTGTTGACGGTCTCAAGTTTCTCGCCCCTGACTTTGATGTCCGCGTTGATGCCATTGGTATAATTGGTCATTAGCTTGGTTTTCTCAGCACTGGTCTCCATGCTGTAGGCCGCTGAGGTTGTGTCCAGCCGCTCCACTAGTGTGGCGAGGTCATCGGCAAAACGCAAGTTTGTGATTGTCCTGCCTCCAATACTGATTGTTCCATTGTGTGTGATTGTCCTGCCTCCAATACTGATTGTTCCATTGTGGTCTTCCAGTGTGTCAGTCATGATTCGTTCTAAGAAGAGATTGAAAAGAGTGGGAGAGAGCAAACAGCCTTGCCTCACCCCGACCATTGTCCTGAACCAATCCCCCATGCTGCCGTTAAGGTAGACTGCGCTGGAGGCCTTGTCATATAGTTGTTGTATGACGTTGATCAGGCTGGCGTTGATGTTATATTTCCTCATGGTTGCCCATAAGGCTGCATTCCAGACCCTGTCGAAGGCCTTTTTAAAATCCACGAAGATATGGTAGAGGTTTTGCTATTGTTGGAGGTACCTTTCGCCCAAATGGACCTTTACACATAAGGATAACGTTAAAGCAGCACGCCACTTAAATGATATAAACTGTATTGTTGGAGACTTAAAACATATGCTGCAGTGATACCATTGTCTCAGTATGTGTGCATATTTTTGTGTGAGTACTATTCTTTTTCCTTATCCCCGCTCATGCCTTCCCTTGAAGTAGGTAAATCATCTTATTGTCTGAAAAGTTTTTGTTGTTTAACTCTTTTCCAACAAGGCCAAAATCTACCTCTGGCCCAGGGCTTTTACCTGACCAGTTTTTATGCCCCTACCCCACCGCAGGAAAATGTCAAAACATCCAACTTAACATACAAACCATATCATATGGCCCATCAAATTGAAGTTTAAAAAATAATCTGTCAGATGATGGTACAATATTGAAGATTTATTTCAATTATATTAGTTTGTGGTTTCTAAACTGATAATGCAATGTCGAAGATGTCGTATGAAATCAACAATTTTCCAGCTTTGAAAGGTCATAACTAAAAAAGTACAACAACAGCATCTTTCAAACGTCCCAGGTAGTTGCCTCAAGTCATGTAAAGAAATTCTGAATGTTATGTATGTGTAGCTATTATAGAAGTGAAAACATGAGACATAAACTGAAGTCGGGGAGCACTTTTCTGTTCATTTTTACGTTTCAAATTTCAAAGGGGACAGAATAAAGCGATGAAATGACAGAATATCGTTTGTCAGTATTATATTTTCTTTCATATCCGCTAACAGTAAGTCTATTATTTCGAAAACATGTATCGGCTGAGAATTTCGAGTCTTTTCATTACTGGATTGGAATTGATAGCGAGCCACTCGAGCCATATTTTGTGGCTCTCTGTCCTGCGAGGCCATTTCGACGAGCCGCATTTCAGCTTGCAGTAGGAAAAGTGTTGACTCTGTTTCATTTTGAATCAAATTGCACTACATTGGACTATCTGATATTAACATTTTAGTTTCTAAAATCCGGTTCTGGAGCTTTGTTGATCTTAAAAGTGGCCTATAGAGATTGAAAGAACTTATGCTGTTGTATTTTTCAAGGCTCTTTTTTCACGTTTGTTTGCACACCTTTGAGCTAGCTCACCTCTTAACAGTATGTAAACTGTATGGGTATATATCTTTTCCCTCTTTTTTTCGGTCTGTGTTCACAGTTAATCCTCATTATGATGATGGGAACAATTACGACTCGATTCAACTTCAACAAGTTCCAAGACACACTCAGCCTAATGGTCAACATGTTGGCAATGTGCGTTTGTCAACCCGTACGACTATGGATGGAAGCCAGCCTGCCAACCTAGAGGAACAAGAGCTGGACCGGGCAATGGAGGAGCTCATTGATCAGTTACCTAGCAGACAACTAGCAGGTAATGGCTTCCATATACTATGTCAGCTCACAAGCTGAACGGTCTTGCCATCAGTATACTATGTCTGTTTTGTGGCAGGTTATGCCTTCACTGTATCAGCTCTGTAGTTGGAAGGTAATGCCTTCACTGACTTAATTCTGTAGCTGACAGGTAATGTCTTCAGTGTGCCAGCTCTGCTGTTAGAAGGTAATGCCTTCATTATGTTAATTTTGTAGGTGGAAGGTCATGCTTTCTCTTTAGTATGTCAGCTTACATGCATATGTGTTGTTTCCCATAGTCTGTTCAGTTTTCAATGTCCAGGTATCCATTCTGAGGACTAAGTTAGCCTTGAGGATATAGATTTATTGTGTAAATATTGATATTGTTTTTCAGACAATGGTGTGGATTTTCCTTCAAGAACTTTGCGGGCAAGGAAAAGTTTTCGAGGTAGGATGGGTCAGGATGATGATTCCCTGGATGATGATTTTGTGGAAAACTTTCATCAGGAACTAGAGGAAGAAAATGCTGACCTTGATGACATTGATGCTGCCGTGCGTACCATGCCGACCACACTAAGTAGGAAACGGAAGATTATGTGAGTTCATAGATGGAACTTTGATAAAAGTCTTTATGTAATGTTTAAAAAGATCATGAAGCTTTATACTAAATGTTCAATCTTTAGTATGTTGCTAGTCTTTTGAAAAGATAAAGTCTATGGTGGTGTTTCTTCCGAAAATGATGGGGGTTTTGTAATGCAGAAGGTTACATGTTTCTCTAAATGTCAAATTTTATAATTTTTTTACCATTCTAGTTTAAGGAAATGTTCTCATTTAAATGCATATTTTCAGTGCCACCAGCAAATCCACTTAAGTCCATTTGGGTACTTTTTACAGAAGAGGGTTTTTGTAGTGGTGCTCCTATCAGGAATCATGAAAAGCACATAGCATAAAACTGCATTTAAAAAAAAAAAATTTTGCTCTATTAAAAAGGACATCTTTGACAGAGCTTTCAGTGGATGTAAAAATCAAAAATTCTCAAAATTTGGACTTCAGTGGATTGCTTGCAAATGCTAAGATATACTTGGACTCATTCTCACATGAGTCTCATTTACATATTATTTCAGTGTTCATCTTTGTCTATATCTGGCCCATATACATTTCTTCACAAGCTCTAGCTTTTTCCTGTCATTCCAGTGGTGATTGGGATATATGTCACCATGAACTTTCTCTGAGCAGTCTGTTTTATACCCCACCACAATGACACAGGGAAACTTAACTCTTTTCAGGTACACTATGAATACTACCGTAGTTGCCATTGAAATTTTTCTTCCTCCCAAGAAAGGAAAGTTTTTGTGCTGAAACGTGCAAACCTGATTTACGTCTGCATGCAAGCACAAACTGTGTCATACATCTTGTCTACAAAAACGAACAGAAAAGGACTGGATCATACCTGTCTCTTTTCCACAGGCACCGACTGTCGTCGAGACGCCAGAAGAAACTGTCACAGTGGAAGTTGCTCAAGTACTGGATACAAATGGTAAGTCATGGTTAGGACGTAATGAGGTGATGACCACTACAGTTGTCGTTTTAGGTCACCTAATGCTCGAGTTCAGGACAGCGTAGTTACACATACTGAGAGATTGCTTTTTCTTTAACTTTGCTGTGTGCAAACACCAAAGTGTTCAGTGTTTGAGTACTTAATGGATAAAGCTTAGATTTGTGGAAAGTGATCCTTGTTTAGCCATGTAAAATTAGCTAAAACTTTTTTTCATATTCAGGCATTCATGCACTCTCACACTCATCCACATCCTTCACACTTGTGCACATAAACATACTTAAAAAATAAGAGTGTCCTCCCCCCATGTGTCTCCTCTTGCTAAGATTTGCAAGTATTTGCTTTGCAGGTGTTTATGCGTGTATGCTTGCAATCTGACTAACTTCTGAAGTGGGGGGGAAGGATATGTGTACATTTGTATGTCCATTATGTTTGACTTTTTTGTGTTTGTGTATCTATCATTACTAGCATGGCAAAGACTTAAAAAGCATCAAGCAATAAAAGTCATTTTTGCATCCAATTTGTTTGACCCGTGAGTGTGTCTATGGTCCACAGGCTTTTCAAAGACTGAAACATCGAGTGCGCAAAGTGTCGCGTCTGTTTGACCTGTGGCGCTCCCACCTCATGACCATTGAGGGCTGCTTCGGCACCAGTGTGTTGTCCTACTTCATCTTCCTCAAGTGGGTTCTGCTCATTAACATTCCACTCTTTCTGCTCACCTTCTGCTTCCTGGTCATCCCACAAATCCTCTATCGCTACTACCAGAAGGTTCCACCAGGCTATGAGGGTCACACGGAGGAATTCACCGGAATTGAGTTGCTGACAGGAGCGGTAAGTTACTGTAAACAGTTCTGCAGTCTGTGGTGTATTTGTCAGGCTATTGACTTGCATGTGAAAGACTTGAATTTGATTCCCACAAAGGGAAGCTTTTTCATCGAGCATCTTGGTCTGTTAGGATGTGGTCCTCAAAGTCAAAGTTGTAACTGGCAGAGGTAAAGCCACCATTTTCAAGTGATCTAAAAGAGTATGAAGCATTTATAATCATTTAGATTTACTGAGATCTATAGCAGTATGATAGTATTATATGTTTTTTCCATAAATCTTTATTTGTTCACGAGAATAATAAGCTACATCAAATAAATGATGGTAAAATGAGAAGTATTTTAAGCTACCTGATTAAGAGATGTACTATTTCCTGACTTTGAAATAGAAAAATATTGTCTGTGTTTGCTGACGATAATATACTTGAGAGCTGCAGGAGTGCCACTTTCAGTGATCGAAAAATTCAAATTTGGGTGTTACTTACTAATTATGAGTACTTTGCAAATAGGGTAGAAAACACTTATCTGTTTCCATCTTTGACTGAGTACTTGTAGATATATTTTTGAAATGGTTTCATAGACTGAAGTAGGATGGGTTTATGGAATTTTGGCTTCACCTTGAGACAAATACCAATACACACTTTTGTTAAACACATTGCTTATGTCTAAGAAGTTTGTTGATAGTAGACCTGACTAGTTTTGCTTACTCTTATTTGAATCTGTGTGAGTTGTCATTTATGAGGAAAATTTTGAAAGCTCTCTGCCCTGTGTTATTGGAGATGGACAATTTGTTTGCAGATTTCTTTTGGGTTTTTTAAAACTTGAAAGCATTGCAGTATTCAGACTCAAATGCAGACTAAGGGAAAACACATGTATGTACAGACAGGAGGTGTTACAGTTGTTACTTTTCTCTCCCTACTTTCCTTTGTTGGTGCACAGGGCTTTTTTGAGGACACAGAGATGTACTACGGCTTTTACACCAACGAGACGGTGGGGGTGGTGGGCTCCTCCCAGTACCAGATGAACTACGCATACCTGTTCACCTGTGGAGGGTACTACCTCTTCTGTCTCATCATCCTGGGCTACAGGTGAGCTGGCTCACTCACTCACACGTTCTCATACACAACGTCCACTGGTACGCTTGTACACATTCACTCACATGCACAGTCACATGCACTCTAAAACATATTCACTGTCACGTACACTCTGACATATGCACTCACTCATACATTTACTGGTATGTGCTCCTGACTCTTTCTGCAGCCTTTCTACTGCTACTCCTTGGCTCCTTCCTACTGCCGTATTTCAGCCACACCCTTGATCTTCTGGTAGGAAAGATCTTCACTTAGCCTTCTCGGACAAGAGCGAAAAATCTCGGAGGTCCAGTGTGCAAGTTTCACACGTTAAAGATCCTTTGGTGGTCTAAAATCAATAAGAGTAGGCTTCGGCCGCCACCCGTGCAAAATTCAAAATTTCCTACCAACTGAAAATGCTTAATGTGTCCCGGGCGCTTATTTGACCATATGCAGTTGCGAGCGCCGTAAAACACTTACCAAAAAAACTCCCCCCAAAAACATGCACCCATTATGCACTTTTACATACATACTATAAGAACACTTAAACACATACACATAAACATGCACACTCACATGTGTCCATGCATACTTATTCATTCACCTACATGTGGGCCCACACACCTGTTCTCACCAAAGAGCTTAGAACTAATGGAGCCTCCTCTCTCTCTTCGTGGCGCAATGAGCGGCACGCCGAGGTGGGGAGCAAAAATGGCCGCCGACTGTGGTCTAAATCACAAACTGCTGTGTTTCTTTTTATAGAATCTTGTAGGGCTGAGCCACATTGTGGGGGTGGGCGGGGTGGGGGAATGCACGCAAGGAAGAGGGGATGGGGCTGAGATGAAAGAGGAGGGTCGGGCCTTGGGAAGGGACGAAGGAGAATGGGAAAATTTAAATAAAGGAGAGAGAGAGGGAGAGAGAGATTGTGATTGTGATCAACTGACGGGATGACGGATAGAATGACAGGGAGAAAAAAAATTAGATTCTGTGGGCGATACGGACTGTTCTAGGCAACTGAGAAAGCCTAGGGACTGTTCAATTATTTAAGAGTTTTATGTTATTTAGCTAGTTTAAGAATTAAGAAGATCGGCAAAATAAGAGGAAAACTTTTCCAAGTATCATAAAATTATCAAACATACCAAATTATAAAGGTAATCTTTCATTACGCTGAAAGATTTAATTATAATAAGAAATGGTGAAAAATGTATTTTTTAAACTGAATTTAAGATATGACTGCATGATTCTAGACACGGGTATGAGGGGCCTTAATTGTTGGCTCTACCTAATGAAACATGCCTTGGCTGTAAGCTCAGGCGATGGGCTCTTATTGCAAGTTTGATGTTCGGCAAAATCAAAGATGTCAATGAGGAGTTCACACCTGTGCGTGATTCCTTTGTCGTAAAATCCTTGCGTCTGGAGCAAACGTGTACCTCGCATCGAGATTTAGAGCGGAGATGTGATCCCATGCATGAGCATGGATGACCTTTGAAGGTTTTTTTTGTTCAGTAAAGTACGAAAGAGAAAGCAGCGTTTTTAGTCCCTTCACACTTCAGAGGGAGATAATTTATCTTAGGGATGACTAGTGCAGTAAAATTTATTGTTGCTTTGTTTGGTTTATTTTTTAACAGGGAAATCTTAAGTGAACCGGGATTATAAATTGTGGGATCTTAGGTGAAGACTACAACAATAGATTTAGATCTAAACCGAGTATAGTTCTATCAAACAAGACTCAAACTTTTATCCACCCACCCTACCCCCTCCCCTCACCTGATATGGTTTGGTGTTTCTTTAACATAGAAGGTATTCATCATTATTGTTGTTGGGTATTGATTTCATATTTTAATGGAGCCTCTCGATATCTACATTTAGACAACTGTAGTCTTATAGTAATTAGGAGATGAATAGGCTTAAAATCATAAAACAAGTCTGACTGACTGATTGAACCCAATACGCTAAGGTGTGTTATATGATTAATAATATGAAAACAAGATACATGTAGAAACCTAGACTCTAGATTTTGTCCCGTCATAGCATCTAATTTACACACACCATGGAAAGCAATATGTGCTTTGATTAAAATGTTTAATATGTATATATAACATACACACACACAAACACATACACTATACGGGGAAAGGATTCCTGTCCAGGACCAAGCTCGTTTCCTCGGCGTCATTTTCGACAAAAAACTTACATTCGTACCACACATCAAAGACCTTCGTGTGAGGTGCCAGAAAGCATTAAACGCTTTGAAAATTCTATCAAATCCGGAGTGGGGCGGGGACTCAAAACACCTTCTCCACTTGTACATCTCCCTTGTCCGGTCCAGGCTTGACTACGGCTGTCAAGTCTACGGATCGGCAAAACCACACGTCTTAAAAATACTAGATCCAATACAAAACCAAGGACTCCGCCTCGCTTTGGGGGCTTTCTGCACTTCTCCGGTGGAGAGCCTCCAGGCCGAGGCCAACATACCACCACTCTCACTCAGACGCACACAACTCTCACTACAATACGCAGTTAAACAGAGCTCAACACCGGAAAATCCAGCGCACAACAGCATTTTTAAAACAAATCCAGAAACCATAAACAGATTCCAAAACAACGAAAAACTCATCAAACCTTTCGGCCTCCGAATCCTTGAGGACCTCAAAAACTTACACTTTTCCAAACAAGACATCCAACAAATTCTTTTCCCCGACCTCCCTCCGTGGCACCTCACCAAGGCAAAAGTAGATTTACAGCTGACCACACACAACAAAGAAAGCACAAACACCAAAACTTTTAAAGCAGAATACAAAAAACTAATAGATAAATACCCCGGTGCGGAGCTCATCTTCACGGATGGCTCCAAAAGAGACAATGAAGTGGGCGCCGCAGCCCTATCTCCCAACAATACACACCAGAGGAGACTCCATCCTGAAGCCTCCATTTTCACTGCGGAGGCCACTGCCATTGACATGGCACTGGACTCTGTAGAAAATTCTCCGAACAAATCTTTCCTTATCCTTTCTGACTCTCTGTCTTGCATCACCTCACTCACAAACTACACACTCTTACACCCAAAATTAGTTATGCTACAACAGAAAATCCATACACTATCCGAAACAGGAAAAAACATCATGTTTGCATGGATACCCAGCCATGTGGGCATCCGAAGAAACGAGCAGGTAGACGACCTGGCGAAGAAAGCTTCATCCCTTCTGCTGGGATCAACGACAAACACTCTCCCACAGACTGACTTTAGAAATAAAGTCAAAAAGTACACCTCCAGTCTGTGGGAGAGCCACTGGGAAAACCAGAAAAATAATAAATTATATGAAATTAAACCCAAACTAGAACAGCGAAATCCTTCGGATCTCTCCAGAAGAGACGAAGTCATTTTTACTCGATTGCGCATTGGACACACGGCCCTGACCCACAAATACCTCCTACAGAGAGATGAGAAGCCGTTCTGTGTCGGATGCGACACAGATTTTACCATTAGACACATTTTAACAGAATGTCTAGACTTTGGAGAGATCCGAAGGAAATATTATAAATGCAAGAAATTGCTGGATATTTTTTCCATCGTTGTTCCCAGCAGAATTTTAAATTTTATAAAGGCCATTGGCCTTTATGGCGAGTTGTAGAGTGAATTTGATATTATGAACAATTTTTATTGTTACTTAAAAGTTGTTTTAGATCACAAATGTATTTACACCGAATTTGAATATTTTAACTTTTTAGCATTTTAAAGTAAATTAGTTAGCCATTCGTGAAGTGAACTTTCGCAGAGGTGAACAACTTGTGTTTCGCGCGCTCATATGACCTTAGCAGTTGCGAGCGCCGTAAAACCTTATACTATACTATACTAAACACACACACACATGCACATACTTACACTCACAAGAATAAGAATATTTTTTTTTACATCAAGTATCTCAGTCTTTCTTCTGGGGTGTTGTTACAGTGTATCCCTTTCTGCCCGGGTTGGCCTTGGCAGGTAGCGCCGGAGCCAGCCTCTTATAAATGTTAATGATCTAAATTGTGTCGCTGGGGGCATAAAAACACTTTCATTCAGATTTTTTAAAAGGAAAACAACACCTGTGAAAACTTCTGTCCACTGCAGCATCATATCGGTTCTTACACTTAAACACAACACAGGTGGAAGGCATTTTTACTAACTGACTTGCCTAATCTCGGAATAAAACTTTCTTTCTAATCTAGATTTCATTGCGTGAGGGCAGCGCAGGTAGACCACAGTTCTGCTGCAAGAGAGGGCTCCTATCAGGCGTGCGGGGCCGCCCACAGAGCATCCTCCATTGCTGTAAACTCCTTGGTGCTCACACATACTGATTAATTTTGTCTGTTTGGGGGAGAGGGGGGGGGGGGGTAAATTTAAAAACATTTTTAATCATAGGAGTTTGCCTCCTCCCCATTGCTCCCATCTATTCCCTCATGTTATGTGTATTTCTGAATCATGTACACATATCCAGGTTATGATGATCATCTTCATGATTTCAATCTTTGTTCCCGGCAGTTACCTCCACTCTTACCGCAAGTATTATATTGAAGCGAGCGGTACAGTGAGCCTGTACTACTTCAGCATGGTCCTCTGTGGCTGGGACTATGGCATTGTCTCCCCAGAGGCCAGCCAGCTCAAGCATAAAAGTATCTTCAATGAATTCAAGGTAACCTCACTAATTACACTAATTAATATGAGATGGAAATGGTTTCAGCTTAGAAAAAGACAAAGAGAAGGAAACTTTATTGGTCTTTAAAGGGAATTTTGATTTATTGAAAGTGAACATGATTAAACTATGTATTGCTGGTCGAGAATTTTATTTTATTTTATCAAGTCATATAACCACACTGGCATCTGTGTTGTAGCAGTTAGGCACTTCACCATCACAGGCAAAAGACCATATAATAATAACAATAATGATTGCAATAGTCATTGTACCGCTACATGTTGCTGCTGCTGCAGTTGATGAGAATAATGAAGATGCTTCTGTTGCTGTAGATGAGTTTGATGATAAAGTTTCTGTTGCTAATGATGATGGTGATGATTATGATGACCTTTTTGCCCTGCTAATGAATGTTTACCTCTGTTTGTGTGTCATTGTTCAGGAGTACCTAGCTGGCCGTAAGTCTGCCACTGCACCTCCCACGCGGGACGACGTAGCCAGGAAGTGGGCTTTCCGCTGTTTTGCCTGGCTGGTGGTGCTGGCCCTGCTGGGTGCCTCAGGCTACGTGACCTACACTGTCTCTGTAGAGCTGTCCATCAAACCCAAACTGGCCAACACGGTGAGTGGACACAGTGATCAGCTGACTGTCGGTTGGAGAGGATGAATTTTTGGGAAGGGGAGGTGGGGCTTTGCCATCTGTTGATAGCAAGGGAAGTGGATGGTGTGGTCAGTTGATGATTAGATGGGACGGGGGTCTTCATATTGCTTCCGGACTCTTGCTAAACTTATGCTCTGAGTATTGTACATGTGTCAACGTCAAATCGATGAAGAGGATGAAGGGGAAGAAAAAGATGAAAGCATAAGCGCAAAAGAACTGCCATTTTTTAAAATTTACTCCTGAACATGTTCTCCTCTGTTCTATGTACCTACGTGCTGTGTGTAACTACCTTATCTTTTGTTGTGCTAATAAACAACATTTTCTTGGGTTCACCAAAAATCTCCACTTGGTTCGTATCTGCTTTTGCTACTCTTCTCTCCTGCTACCTTCTGACACTCCTGTGACAGAATGCATCGATGTCCACTATGGTCAACTGGCTTAAAATAAAAACCTTTCCTGTTGGAAATGGTGAACTCAACCTGAGGTCCTAATTTGTATTTATTCGTTGTATTGTATACTTTTGATAGCTGTTACTTTGAATTAAGCACGAAAGTCCTATCATTCGAAGAAAATAACAATAGAATTCAGTGGATATGAACTCTAGTGCAATGGTTTTAGAATTTTAGAAAAATGTTTTTAATCTCCTCTAACCTCATTGGAAAGAGATTGGAACTGATCAGAAGTTTTCAATGATTAAATTGGTACCATAAACATCTTTATAAGAAAAGCCCACTGTTTTACGTTCGTATGTCCAAAATATCTAAACTCATCTTCTGATGTGGTATCCTGTCCTGAATCCCTGTTCCAATGCGATCAGACGAGTATCCCAGTGGTCAGCCCTCTGGCCATGCCCGTGGTCATCTCCACCATCCAGTTATTCGTTCCCATGATCTTCACACTCCTGGAGGGGCAGGAACAGTTCTCTAAGCCAAAATACGAACTTTACGTCCACATGTTCAGGTAGGTGCACACTTTTGTCTCTGCTGTACTGCCCCTGATATCCCCCCTTTCTATTTCTTTGACTCTATTTGCCAAGAGAAATCTGGGCCTCAATTATATCTAGTGATGAAGTACCATCCTCTTTTTAAAAAAAAAAAAAAGAAAGAAAGAAATGTCTGACTGAAAGTATCTTGCAAGATTGTCACTTTGAAAAACAAAAGAAAAAATGGCATAATGTAAGAAGATTTTAAAAGATAGATTTTTGTGTTTCAATAGAGGAACTAATATTTATGGGAAGGTGGGGGGGGGGGGGTTGAGAAAAAGAGGAATTGAATGGGGAAAAGATGTCTTATGTTCTAGTCAGCAGCTAAAAAGTTTTTGCTGAGCCTTGTGGAAATAGATTGGTATTATTGGTTCCCCCCCCCCCCCCCCCCCGGATGCCTCCACATCACTGAATCACACATGCACATTTGCATAAGTATACACATACAATCACACATAAACACATAATCATGAGCTTGCCCACCAATATGTACTCAAATATGTACAATAGGTCCATTTCTCCACAAGAAAGACAGGAGCCAAGTCTGAATAAGAACTCCATGTCCACAAGTTGTGGTAGGTGCCTTACCCATCTCTCTCTCTCTCTCTCTCTCTCTTTCTCTCTCTCCCTTTCCCTCTCCCTCTCTTTCTCCCTCTCCCTCTCTCTCCCACTCTGTCTTTCTCTCTCTCCCTCTCCCTCTCTTTCTTCTTCTCCTTCTCCCTCTCTTTCTCTCTCTCTCTCAGTAAGAGTAATGACCTTAAACTTTCTCTCTCCCCTAGAGACATGGCTCTCAAGGCCACTATGCTTGCCGTGCTGGTCTACTTTTGGTTTGATATCGCAGCAACCGAACTGAAGGTAAGTTGCGGGCATCTGTATATATACATATATGCTCACAAGTGCATGCACATAGAAATAAGCATACTCATGCGGGTGTGCGCTTCCACGCACGCACGCGCACACACACACACACACACACACACACACACAGACACACAAACACACGCACAAACACCCGCACATACACTCATACACTCACTGCCACCTACTCATTTGTATTTTTATTTCTCTTTCTAGTATGCCATGGGACACGAGTCAAAATCAGTAGTATTATTTTGTACCTCACCAAGATGGTAGTTCCCAGAGAGATCATTTTAGACCTGACTGTTTTGTGTCTTGTCAGCCATTGAACTTGAATCAGAACAGGCAGTGGTATCGAAAATACAAGTTGTCATTCTCTATGATTCTGATGGGGTTTTTTTTCATTTTTGAAGAAGACAGTAGCTCTTTCAGACATTGATCAACATCACATAAACACAATGTCATACCAGTCTTGTTCTTACAAACAAACAGTTTGGTGGTCACCTCAGAACTCTGTCCGGTTTTGAGCTATGGTTGTCTTGTCATGCTTATGGACGCAAACCTAGTGACCACCCATGTAGAAGTCATGTTTCCAATATTCCTGTACAATTTTATGAGCCTGAGCTCACTTGCCATTCAGCTACTAGAACTCCACAAACAAAGCTGATGGATGGATGAGTCAAACTAACAACCTCCCAGCAGCATCGGCCGACCACCCACTTCAACTTTTATTGCTTACCAGAATTACAAAGGCCAAAGGGGAGGGGCAGTGCCAACCTAGTCCAGACATAGAGTATTCTCCGCCCTGAAAAATACTCACACTGTATCTAGGAGATTGGTGATCTTCAACAAATCAAAGCGAAATAAGACAAAGATAAGTTTGTGGATACGTCACCTGTCGTCACCTGTTGTCTATCTGTTCCTCAGTGCTGGGAGACATTTGTGGGACAGGAGATCTATCGCTTGGTCATGGTGGATCTGCTCTTCACTCTTGGCTATTCCTTTTTTATTGAGTTTGTTCGCAAGTAAGTTCATGTTCACAGACTTTGATATTTTGGATAAAGTATGCCTTTTTTTTTATTTCAAAGTGTACTGGTTTGCACAGTCTTTAATACTTTGATTGATTTTTTTTCCTCACAAGGAATGTGGGTATGCAAAGTGTTTAAGATACTTAAATTATTTTTTTTATCACAAAACATGTGTTAATGTTAAATCATTGAGACCCACTGATTTCATAATTCTTTTCCCTCACAAAATGTAGATGTGTGAAGTCTTTGAGATACTTTGATTCTTTTCCTTTTCTCCTCCCAAAGATTAGTTTGAGATACTTTGATTCTTTTCCTTTTCTCCTCCAAAAGATTAGTACAGTAGAACACAACTATAGCGGCGCCAGCTGCTTCGGGACCGTACCGGAATCCCCCTTTTTTTTTCTCTGTAAACTCAATTACCTGTGCTTTTGGTTAATGGGGCAAGGGAAGTCCCAAACTTGGATACAGCAGGAGAGATCAAGCGAGCTCTAGCTGGGGGGGAAGGAGGTTGGGGGCCTGGAGGCAGGCTCCAAACAGGAAGTCAGCGGTGCGGCGTTGTGATTGGCCAGTCCCGTGATGAGGGAGGTGGGGCAGGCGGCAGAAAGAGAGGGTGCAAAGAGATGTGTTAGATGAGCCACTCCAAAAGTGATGTGCCATAGGCCTAGCCCGAGGGTAGACCAAAAATAAAATAAGAGGAGAGCATGAAGTGTTGATTCCTGATTCATTGAATTGCAATCGTTGATGCTTAAGCATACGCACGCATCCACTTTACCAGTTCTACAGTAGGCCTACCGGTACGATAGCACAAGCAGCAAGACTGAGGAAAAGATGGCTTCCACCAAAGACAAAAGGAAATGCTTCTCACTCAAATTAAAGGTCGAGATAATCAACAAAGTTTACAAGAAAAAGAATACTAATCAAAAGCGCAAATTTTGTTGATATGGAAGGGAGGTAATCATGCAGATTAAATTTATTTTTTTCTGTAATCCCCTTTGCATTCCTAGAGCGGGAACCTACCTATAGTAGGATTTTTCTTCTGGAGCCAAAATTCTCGCTATAGCTGTGTTCTACCGTAAAATGTTATTTAAATATGTCAAGTCGTTTAGATACCCTGCTGATCTGTAATAACAAAGGTGTATTCAATCTTTTTCTTATCCCTCACCATTACACGGTATATGATAAAAGTATCGTTCTGTCACTATGTCTGTTTGAGTCTTTCACTGTACCATGCAGGTTGCTGTCCTTGAAGTGGGAGATCATTGAAAGAGCCGAATTTGCTATTGGACGACATACTTTGGAGCTGGTCTATTCGCAGAGTCTCTGCTGGTATATAGTAATTGTCATTTCGGTTTCTGCTGCTCTGAAGACACTGGCTATTCAGAGCGTCTGTAGCTATGTAGAGGTTGGCTGCTCAGAGTCTTTGTTGCTATTTTGAGATTTTTTTGTATTCCCTGAAAAAGATGTTTATAAAAATTTTGAAGGCGTTTGCAAGCCAAGTACATGAACATCTTATCCTGAAAAGTACGTACAAAATTCCCTTTTATGCTTTATAAAATATTTTTGTACAGTAGGTACTACAAAACAAGATTTTTACAAATGAATTTTGGTTTGTGATGTGATGAAAGTTGTATTTTCCATAGTTTGTAGAATTAATAAGCAAAGTTTGAAGTTGAAACACCTTGAATTTGTTAATGAGTACATGTGACATTAATTAATTTTAAATGTGCTGTTAAGTGGCCTTAAAATACTCTGTTATGCAAATTTCTATCTTTATCTTTGCAGGTGGTAGTGTGTAAATTGTTACAAAAATGTTTTCTGACTTCTGTATTTTTTCATAGGAAAATTTTCCACTGCTTTGCCCTGCATTTTTGCTTGATATTTTGTAACATATGGACCCATTTCCAAGTTCTAATTCTGTATCATCCCATTGTTTGTTACAGGTTGGGTGTTTTCTACTCTCCCCTCCTCCCTGTCGTAGTCATTATCAAGCTTATCATCATATTTTACGTCAAGAGGGTGAGTGGTTATACTAGTTCTTCGTAAAACAAGAATAACTACTTTAAGTCGTTGAGATTGTACACACCCAATTTGCACCCCAGGACATCTGAGGTGCTACGGAAAATTTCTGTAGAAGCCCCTAATGAAGGGGAAAGCAAAGGGTTTTATTTGAGTTGTTTCATTTTATCATGTAGAAATAAGTATGAACCCCAAATAATAATATTCCAGCATCAAGCACTATTTTTCTCATAGAATAGGAAATTGAAAGTTTTATTGCTTTAGTAAGTTTTCCTCTACCGGAACATATTGGAAATGACTTTCAATACATGCCCTTAGAAAATTGAAAACAAATTATTAATTTTAACACCATTGTGGTTTAACAGATGTAATTTGTGCGGATATGGCTAAATCTTTTTTGTTCAAACTTTCCCACATTTCATTTCCAAATAACATTCTTCAACAATGAAACTGGAAATGCTGCCAGTCCAAAATAGTACATGTGGTGCCTATCATTGATATAGCTGCCAAGCCATAGATGCCCAACTTGGTCTCATTGAGTTAATGTGGATTGAATGTTAGCTTACAACTTACAGTTCTTAAACTTTTGAATGCTTGCAGTGAAAATAAAGTGTGTGTGAATGTGTGTCCATGCATATGAATATGTACATTTTGACTGATGGTCTCGAGTCTTTTTGCGTGTATGTATCTATGCTACTATGTGTGTGCTTATCTGTATTTGTATGTGAAAACGTGCAAATGCCTCTATGTTTGTGTGTGTCTCTTTTTCATGGGTCTCAATAGTCCGCTATTTAGCGGATTTCCGCTTCCTCCGTTTCCTCCGCTACCGCGACGGCGGGCCAATCAGAAAGAGAGTTGTTTGGATCAGGGTGACCGCCAGGCCCCGGAAATTTTTTTTAAAAGCCGAGACCCGGGCATAAAAGATCTCGAATATTTGAAAACCAAGTCCAATAACGTCTTTAAGTTCATTTCTGCCGGTCGCGATTGTGATATTAATTCGTCTCTGAGAGTACGTTTCACGCGAACTGGCGGCAAGCGGAATTGTGTCACCACGGCTCGACTGGAAAATCAAGATCTACTTTCGCTTTCGTTACCACCCAGAAATTTGTCAGTAATTGTCTGATAACGCAACATTTATGCAGGATTGGCATTACAAACGTGGTGTTGCCTTGAAAATAAATCAACATTTGTCACTGTGTTGTCACTTGTGGGGGCAACAACAACAAGAAATGAAAAGAAAGTTATACAAGCGTCTTGTCGGGCTTGCCATTGTGACCGGTCAATGAACCTGTGCGCGTTCTGAGCACTGCGAAGTACAGGACTCAGGAATTGGGGGGGGAGAGATTATTGATTTTTTTAAAGATGCACTCGGGGATAAGGGGAGGGCTGGATGTAACACCAGAGGACTAAAAAAACTGGAACTGGAAGAAAATGTTTAATGTGTAGAATTTTGATTACAACTACAGCTCTGCTCTCTGCAAAGTAAAGTGTGCGTTGGTGCAGGCCTTGTGTGAAATCGGGAACCGTCATAACTTGTAAGCGTGTTATCGAACTTTGGGGCGCAAGTGTTTTGCGTTTCATTGGATTTGTGACAGTAAATTAGATCTCTATATTTTGGCTTTCTGTTCAAGATTCGCAGATTGTCGGTATCACAGCAGTTTGCCCTCCCACAGTTCTTACACCTCTCACACTGAATATGTCTACTTGGGCTATTCTACTCTACTTTGAGTTTGAGCATTAATTTTTATCTTTCATGTCTATTATATAGGCCTATATATATGATATGTATGACAGTCGATATTCTGGTTCTAGACTCAAAACAAGATTCATTTTTATATAGTTTATATTGGCCTATAGGCGAATATGATGAAGGGAAAATATAATATAAATTAGTCGCACAAGACCCCAGGCGCCACCACTTTCTCAGCTGTACGTAGTCAAGATTGTAAATATTTGGTAAGTGACTCTTACTTGAAATAATCTCCCAAACCCTCAAATTGGTGTGAAATAACCTGGCTTTAACAAATTGATGGTTTTTATTTCAGCATTCTAGGGTTCAACAGTATAATAATAATGGGTGTTTCGCGAAATTGGGCTTCTGTGGCGATCAACCGGAAAGTTCCTCCTTTTTTAGAATTCTGAATTGAGACCCATGCTTTTTGTCATTGGGTCAGTATAATTCACTGTTTCCGTTATACTTTTCCCTTATGTGTATGTACATCTTTGGTTGTGTGTATGTGTGTGCACACACGTATAACTCTGCATTTGTGTGTGTGTGTGTGTGTGTGTATACACCTGCCAACAAAGTTCATTTCCAAGGTGCTTCTGTCTGTTCTTCTAACATCTGCCCTTTGTGTGCTCCAACAGGTTAGCGTGGTGCAGAACTGCAAGCCATCCCTGAAGCCCTGGCGAGCATCGCGTACGCACACCATCTTTGTGGGATACCTTTTTGGCTTCTTCATTCTCACCTCCGTGGCTGTGGGCTGTGGAATTTTCCTGTAAGTTCTGCTTCCTGCTTTTTTTAATGCCCAAGTTGAAGATGTTGAACCCTATCATCTCTTTATGGTGAACCCACTCTCATCCCTCATTAAGAATGATGGGCTCATTCATCCCTCATTAAGAATGTTGAAACCATTCATCCCTCGTTGAGGATGGTGAACCAATTTATCCTGATTTAAGTTTGGTGAACTCATTTATTTTTATATGGGAAAACTTGGCTAACCAGGAAAGAAGGGGGAACTGCCCACCATTGATCAGTTTTTGTTTTGTTGATTTTTTCCAGTATCAAGCCCAGCATTGAGTGTGGCCCCTACAAGCATCGAGAGACATCTTACGATGTGATTAAGGAGATGATAGATAATTGGAAGGCTGACCATGACGTATGGAGGGAGGTCTTTGGCTTTATCAACTCGCCAGGTTTCGTGGTTGGCTTGCTGGTCCTGCTTGGGTAAGGTGTACTTTTCATGATGAAATTATCTAATAACACGAACTTATTTACCTGGTTGCAGGCTTACTCGATTCAGTTCAGGATAATATTGAAAGATGATATGACATTTATACATTCTAAACTAAGCACCAAACTATCTGTATGTTGGTGTTTTTTATTTGTTTTTTGTTTTTTTTGGTAAGCGTTTTACGGCGCTGGCAACTGCATAAGGTCATATGAGCGTACGGAACACACCAAACATTTTCAGTTGGTTGGAAATTTTGAATTTTGCACAGGTGGCAGTCGAAGTCTACTCTTATCGATTTTGGACCACCAAGGGATCTTTAACGTGCGCAACTTGCCTATGCGACCTCCAAGATTTTTCGCCCTCTGAGAAGGCTGGGTGTAGATCTTACCTACCATAAGATCAGGGGTGTGGCTGAAAGACAGCCGTAAGAAGGATCCAAAGAGTCACAGAAAGTGGAGGCGAAAGCAGATGACAGAACATTGTTAGAGAGTAGATAAGGAAGTGAAAGGAGAAAATTTTAGAGAAGAATACTTTGCGTCGCTCTCCGAATTCAAACCCGGGACCATTGAATGAGAGGCGAACACCCTAACCTCTAGTCAACGAGAGCCTCCTGTTGGTGTTTAGCTGTACATGTTTGTACATGTTTGACTTTTCTGAACCGTAATAAAGCCAATTTTTTATGGCAGATTTCAAAACTTCTTTCTAAGACCTCTCCTACATTACTCCTCTAATTACACTTAAAAGGAAAGTATACCACTGAAGGAATCAGACTAACAAACTTATTGTGGTCACAAGCTCATATCTTAGGTGATAGAGAAGGGGTTAATCCTTTGTGTTACAGCACTGCAGCTAGTAATGAAGAGGAGTGAAAAACTTCCTGCCTCAATACTGCCTGAATTGTTAGCAGCATATGATGTTGACATACTCAAAAACTTTACAATTACACACTCACCCCTACTCTTGTCCACTTAACATGCATGTCACACCCACACGCACGCACATAAACACTCCTGTAAGCGCACACAGACTTGCGCAGTCGTGCTCATACGAAGATTGCCCCAAATCTAAAATGAAATTGACCATAACTACAAAACTAATGCCATCGATTTTTTTGTTAAGTTTCTTTAAACGGAGACCTATCCAAGACATAATTTTTCTCTGGCTCCCTGGTGATTCTATCTTGCACAGGTTCAACTGTACTGGTAAATAGGGCTTGGATTTAAACTAAGGCTATGATATTGTTCCTTGTTTCAGGATGATCTGGTACTACACAAGGACCATTATGCTAAGTCATAAGGAGATGGTGGCTCAGTTTAAAAAGCAGCTGCAGTCTGTAAGTTATGATTATATGGTGTGTCATTTCAGGAAACTGCTTTGGTTCCGTATGATTTTTTTGGAAACTGGCCATTTTCATTTGTGCTTGTTTGCAGTGTGTACGGGTCATACCATTGAGCATGAGAAACTTTTAAATAAAAAATCAACACAACTCTGAATCACTGATTTATTGAACTAAAGTGTAGGTCCTAATTTTCACTTTGTATTCTCAACATTTGTTCATTTTCAAAACTTAAACCAAAGCACTGTTAAAAAATGGTTATCTGGTCAGATGCTTTAAGAGTGGGTTTGCTATGTCCACACTCCTTTGTAAACTAAATGTCTATGTGAAATATGTGGTGTCAGGTTGGATGACTTAAAAAGTATGGGGTTGTCTTGTCTACTGCTCTGTATGTCAACCACTGGGTACATTATGTCTGTGTGATCTGTATGCATTGTTGTCGGCTCAAATGATGTCAGTACAAGTCATCTCACTCATCTTCTACATTGGGGATTTTTTGTTTTTTTTTTGTTTCTTTGTTTGTTACAGGAAGGAAAGGATAAAAAGTTCCTTATGAACTTGCTGAACCAGGTGAAGGTTAGAGGTCGACGCGTCAGTCATCACCGTGGGCCGACGCTACACAAGACGATGGAGACCATGTCATCTTCGCCAAGTACCCGTGGAGGTAAGATCAACCAAACTTTGGGGTTTTTTCTTCTGATTTGGATTAGGTTGAGATTTATTGGGCTTCAGTAAAGCATACTGCTTTCTCACACTTCATATTTGGGATCTTAAAGTTGGAGCTTTTCTCAGATAAAAAAGATGTGAAACTCAGATGCCCTATGTGCTTATTGCAATTGTTGCAGGTTTCTTATTGCTGAAAGACAATAAAAGCAGACTTGTAACCACCCCTCACAAAATTCTGGGCAAGTCCCCTCTAATCACATGATAATAAGGTCAGAAGAAATGAAGAAGTGATGAAGTTTATCATCTGATGGAACGGGTGGCTGTCTGAATAGCCAAGGTCATTTATACGGCCCTTGCACAACAGATCAGGCCCAGCACATAGGGCATGCCTTTAAGTCAATTGATGTCAAGCTAGATTTTAATGCTGATGGTATATGTTCACCTCCCCAACAAGGTGTTCTTGAAGTTGGGTTGTTTAGTTAGTTTTCTAGGCTCACTAACCTACCTGGCTTAGTCCATCATTAAAGGACGTTAAATTAGGTCTTATCGCTTTAATAACCTTTCAGTGTTTAAAAGGGCCACTTAAGCCTGCATCATGTCATAGCATAACATACCCTCTCACATATGGATCAGTTACACTGTTGGTCAAAGAGTCCGAGGTGTCTGTCCCGAGATTGAGATATGATGTTGTTGTCTATCCCATCGCCTGATGACAAATGCCAGAAAAGAAACACTGAAAATTGTGTGTTGAAGGACGTGCAATTTGATTGTGTTAGAAAACTTCTTTGTCATTATGTTAGACCTGCATGTTTGCCGACAATCGTCTGAAATCCGACAATCGCGACCCGACCCGCGAACCGGCTGATGCTATCGCTAGGCCCGGCTGTATCAGTCAATGTGCGTAGTGTGAGGCTTGGCCGACAGCCAGCGACCCCTTTTTCTCCCGTCGGCTTCGTCGGCACTTTCGTTTTTGTGCCGACCGCTGACGCGCGCACCGCCAACTGCCGATGTCGGCGTTTCCGACATAATTGTCGGAACCTAAGTAGAAATGCGAATACGAAAAAGGACGACAACTTAAATTATCTAGGCCTACTGTACTTTCAGTTTCGTGCTCGAGCGGCCATTTTGAATTTCGTTTGTTGACTAATTCAATTGTTCAGATCGTGTGGATTCATTCAAGTCCGACTCTCTTGTTCTAATAGAATCTAGATCTAGATCTAGATCTAGATTTATATAGATCATTATAGACCTCAATGGAGGATTCATATTCCAATTCTATTGTGTCAAACCCTATCATAGGTTGTGCTGTAATATTAATATTGGTAAAAATAAGCATTACATCAGGTGCGTGAATTATTTATTTATTTAGATCTAGAAATGAGATCTAGATCTAGAATCTAGACTCAGCTGAGTCCCTCTGTTTGGAATCGGATGCGGATTTCTAGTTCAAGGCCTATTCCTATTCACTTGTTCTACAAGATCTAGATCTAGATTTAGATTTATTTAGATTACTAGATCTAGATCTATATGGAGTATTCATATATATGATATTCCAATTCTATTGTGTTATTGTATCAAACCCTATAGCAATGTAGATGTAAGCCATATAGATCTAGAATCTAGATCTATATGCTCCTTGTTTGTTTTGGAGTGTGGTTTTTTAATTTTAATTTATTTTTAAATTTAGGACTTGTTTTGGCCTTTTTACATGAGGCCCGTTGCAGGTTCTTTTTGGGGGTAGGGTTAGGGTTGTCTCTTCTTAATCAAGTGTTTGTTGGGGTGGTCGCTCGTTACTCGGATGTCCTTCCTTATGACACCCACAAAGGCTTTTTTTTTGGGGGGGGTGCGCTAAATTTTCAGACAATCTGGTTGAGGCTCACATGCAGGTCTATTATGTTTTTTGGAATTTTAAACGTAGTTTTTTTCTACCACAGCTTTTCCGTGGCAATGACCTTTATGATCTAGCTCACATGCAGGTCTATTATGTTTATATGGAATTTTAAACGTAGTTTTTTTTTACCACAGCTTTTCCGTGGCAATGACCTTTATGATCCAGCTCACATGCAGGTCTATTATGATTATATGGAATTTTAAACGTAGTTTTTTTCTACCACAGCTTTTCCGTGGCAATGACCTTTATGATCTTTTTTCTTTTTGTGTGTGGCCAGGTAACAAAGTGTTTGTGAAGACAGTGGCGGAGAGTGTCGTGTCAGCCTCGCCAGGACAGTAGCTGACGTTGCATTATCTCCAGGCTGTTTGTTAACTTTGTGTTGAGGTCATCGACAAGCAAATGGGGGATCTAGTTGGTTGGATGGATGTGATTGCATGGCAGAGAGAGAGAGAGAGAGAGACTGACAGAGAGGGAGTTATGTGTATGTGTACATGTTTGTGCTTGTGTGAGCATGTGTACTTGTAGGGGCATGTGTGCTTGTGTATGCAGGTATATGAAGGGATATATATATGTTTTGTTCAAGCGTCTCATATGGTAAATGTCTCATTCCTCTGTAACATTGTCTTTTAATGGAATTCCAAATGTATGAAGTGGGACCACTTCTTCAGCCCTATGGCTGCTGATTAAACAGCATTTTTTTTTTTTTACGTTTTTACATGTAAAACTGTAGCCACAATAACTTCACTTTTTTTTTGCTATTCATGATATGTCGCTAAAAGTATTTCCTTTACTGTTGCTTGTAGTGGGTTTTTGTCCTTCTATAAAATTCAGTGTAGTCGTGGGTTTTTGTCCTTCAGTCAAATTCAGCATGGTCATGAGAACTGTTTGGAAGATCTGAATTTTTTAATGAATTGTTATCTGAACTGAGATCAAAAGGTGAATATGAATGTCAAATAGTAAAAGAGGGAGCCGGTCTTTTGGTTCTTTCTAGAAATCTGCAAATTAAAAGATTCCTGGAATATATATCATCACCAGAGTCAAGGAGGAATGTGGGTGGTTGGCAGGTGCTCTTGTGTGGTTTTTTCCTTTTCTGTTCAACATCTACCGATATCTCGTCTCCTTCTATCCTTTGTATGTTAATACAGTAGAACTCAGATTCAACGAGCTCGGATTCAATGAGAGCTCGGATTCAACGAGAGGAGATAGATTCCCCATTTTTTTCCTTCTTTAAAATCAATAACAATAACCCGGATTCAACGAGGACTTAAATCAGCAAGCTCGGATTCAACGAGATCGCTTCAAGGGTGAACAACCCCCCTCAGACGCGGCTTTGCTCGTTTTTTTCCCACAACGAACTTTATCTATTCCCGGAAACCATCTATTGCACCTGCATCGAGAACCATTATTGTTAAAAGCGATTGGATGCGACCAGTCAGCGGCCTTCTTTCATACCAACACATATACATTGTTGGCACGCACACGTGTGTCTACTCTGGTGTGTGTCGGGGTCGGCACACGTGTGACGGTGTGTGCGTGTCGAGGGGGGGGGGGGGTTCTGGGCGTGGAACGTCGCAGATACAAACGTGGCAGTCTTTTTCCTCCTGGCAACTGATCATTATTACAATGATAAACTAGTCTTGACGTAGATCTACGTAATGAATTGTGTGCTGGTCTATAGTATCAAATTTAAAAGTTGCTGTATGATAAACTCTACACAGCAACACAGCTTTTTGGCAAGCAATCGAGATGACACAGGCGTGCATTTGAACGAATTGAGCTTTTTTTGCACTCCTCATAATATACGGGCATTTCAGGCACTACTTGTTACTTCTCTTTATAAATTACTTGCTCAGTGCCAGTAATTATCTACACAAAACCTCATATTTGCTATAACGAACACTCGGATTCAACTAGATTTTAGGTCAGGCCCGGCAACCTCGTTGAATCCGAGTTCCACTGTATCTGGAAACACCTGTAATCATTGGCGCTTATCATGCCCTATTTGTGTTACAAGTGTCATGAAACAGTATTTCACTTCCTTAGAATAGCATCCTACTTGCCATGAAATAAGTGCTGCCCATCTGTTGAGCAACCAGTCTTGTTGCATGCAGTCTTTGGCATAATATAACAGTGGAAGCAGCCTGTTTTGTATGTGAATGTATCTTTTTCTCTTAGATCCAGGAAGTTTTTGAAATCCTACTCTATCATCGGGCACCTTTGTTAAAGTAATATGATGTTGGGTGTCAAACTTCATCCCTTAATGTGTCCATGATTGTTATGTGGACCAATTGCAAACACACATCTTACGCACACACTTGTGCACACTTATTGTACGTACCTGTTTTTGATAAATCATACTTAATACAGTACCACGCCCCTGTAAAGACCAAAGACAGCTCAGCAAGTTTTACTTCCGATATAATTGTATTTGTTTCCCGCCCCTGTGATCAATGTATGTAGTTTTGATCTGTTTCACATCCACATGGGCAGACACACGAAGACACACACATACACAGACACACACACACACCCACACACAAAAGTTTTTTGTATTCATATATATTTACATATTGAGGAGTTTTTTATAACTAACATCTTTGGAATGTGATCCTCTATCTTTGACACTAGTTGTTTATAATGGTCAATGACATTTTGATATGTATTGTTATATCATTGTTATACATGTATACATATATATATATATTTATAAATATATATGCAAGATCTTCAATAAATCGTTCATCATGGTTGTGAAACAAATTGGTCCTTTCCTCTTTGACTTTGTGCATTTTCATTCTTCCTTCTCTCCGTCTCCCTCTCTGTCTCTCTCTGTCTCTCTCTGTCTCTCTCTCTCTCTCTCCCCCCCCCCCCCCCCATTTTAGGCACAGTAACTCAAGAACAGGCTCATTGGCTGCTTATCACAAGGATTTATTACTTTAATAAAATTAACCTACATGCTTATTAAGTAAACAGACTTGATTTCAGTAGCAAAAAATCTGAGAAAATACATGTAATTATTTATGAATCAAAAACCCAGAGAAAAACCAAAATGGAGTCCACATATCATAAACTGAATGAAAAGCAAGAAGATCTTTGAGGTTTTATTTAAATAGCATATGATTTAGCATCACCACTTGGAGACAATTTCAATGCTAGTGCATGTTTGTGACTTTATGACTCTCGCTCATATGTGGTGAAAGAGAAGTTTTCAGCGGTTTGAGATTATCATATGTGGACTCCAGAGTGGGTGCGGTACAATAGTGTCAACGGCAACATGTCGATACAAGCGTTGGGGTGGAGCTCCTTGTAAAGGACCTTAGAGACAGTTGATGAAGCATTTTACCAACACAAGGAAGCTTCGCATTCAAACATGGGGCGAGTCCATACTTGTCCTATATTACTAGAATATGGTCTTTAAGCTGACATTCTTAAATGTGCAAAATTGTACAAGTTTAAAATGCGCCTTGCAACACTGTAAGCTTACTTTTATGAGGCAGGACATATGTATTTTAACATCCGTTTTAATAATACTGAGCCAAATTCAAATGGCAAAATTTGTGTAAAGTGCCTTTCCCTGGGACACAATGTCGAACCCCCAAACCTGTAATCTCACAAGTCAAGTAGCCTAACTACTAGACTAATAGTACCACCAGCCTACATTCTGCTCTCCAAACCCACTGGGATATTATACTTCAACAATGCCTTGCAAAATTAAACACGTGTGGCCCCAACTCCACGCACAGATGGTACGCATACAGCCTCTTCAGCACAACATACACTGGAACTCGAGCATTCTGAGTTTGAACCCAACGTAAAGAGAAGAAATCAGCTTGGCAAAGTGTTGTTTGGTTGGCGGGAAAGCAGACAATATACAGAGAACATGGGCAACAGAACTGTCCAGATAATCAGAAAAGGCTAGAATATCACAGTATTTGTGTGGCACAACAAGATACCACATCAGAAGATGCACACACTGGACAGTCTCAAACATGAAAGACGGAAGAAAACCTAAACTATCTTGCCTCTTTTAAATCAAAGCTAAATAATAGATAGCAAAAAACTAAAAGCTGGGAAAAATCTAAAGCATCAATTTGGCCAAGAGAAAATGTTTAATTGGATGAATGACGGGACTTCTGGCAATCCCACACCTTTCTCATGCCATGAGCCAAAAGAACCACAGAGGGTGTGGGCTTCACTCTTTGAGGATGCACATTCTGGTCATTCAGCAACACTTGGAGACTAACTGTTTTTTTTGTTTTTTTTTAAGCAACATAACTTTGCTATACAGGCAGATTTTTCAACTCTTTTTCTTCTTTGTCTGAAACTTTTAAAAAACAGGCAACAACATGCAAACTTGAAATATAGACATTGCTAATCTTTCAAAATTTGTCACAACATTGCCTTTGGTCTGCTCCTGATTAGACGTCTATGTCCACTAAGCCCATAAGTTTCAGTACACATTAAACATAGAAAGATACATCAATCCATTATATCAAAGTAAATCAACAAAATCTAAGTATATAATATATATATATAAATATTAGATAAAATCTGTGCCTGGAACATCAATAACAACAACCTGACCAACAACAGTCAGTAAGACATGGACATCTTCATTGGTTTGACAACAAATATAACAAACAAGAACTTGCATAAAAACACATATCAGTGTCCATATAGTACCATCTTTGAACAGCACTCGGGTCACAAACTTGACCGAGGAAATAACAGATCTACCCAGACGTCCGGAAACCAAGACCTCGAAACGTAAAAGCTTGTTTTTAGACATGGGTCTCTGTCATTCGCAAAGATCATGTTAAGTTTTGCAGTTAGGTCTGGGGTGGTGCCAATGAGGAAACTGGTTAAACAAATAGAGGACGGAGACAAATGGTGCAAAGCGGGTTAATCGTGCACTCATCGTAAGACAAGTTGTAAGTTGTTGGGCCTACTGACAAAGCAAAGCAGATAAGTCAGGTGGAGGCTCTACATGAACAGTATGAGGGTATGGCAGCAGAATGCCATACATGAACATATCGATGAGGGATGACAACACAACAAACAAAAGAAATCACCGTTATGATGAGATGCAGTAGTCATCACCTTACAATATCATGGACATGCCAAACAAATGTTTGTCCTGAACATTCGAAGGGTTTTTTATGCTCCTTCATTCCCCCCCCCCCCTTACTCTTTTCTTTCTCCTTCTCTCCTCCATTCCTTCACTCCTGCTTTCCTGCTTTATGCCTTGCTTGCGTCCTGTCTGATGCTATCAAGGAAAGACAACCCTCTGTCCTCCATCAGCTCGTGCTGCTCCTTGTACAGTTTCCGTTTTTCCTGTACCAAAATATCAAAATATACCGAAATAGAAATGTTACAAAATATGTCGTAGCAGAAGACATTTGTCTTTTTTTTTACAGCACCAGAAAAATGTCTGACGTAGCTGTACTGATTCAAGCCCACAGGGAAAGTTTGGTCACCCTCTTCTCTGAGCTGAACTAGCTTGTCCTTTCACTCTTGTTCCCACATCTCTCTCAACATAATAGGCGCTAACTAAAGAAAAGGAATATCTCAAAAGGGTCTGTATAGAAGAAAGGGTACACATGAAACGTGAAAAATCTTCAAACATGAACTCAAACCAAGAAGGTCTGCATTACAGTATAGTTCCTCACAAACTGAACTAACAGCACTCTCACTTTCGTCTATGGTGCAATGAGAGAGAAAACTTCAAAGATTCCCAAAGACTCTCTATTTTTAAACTTCTTTTCTCTACAATAATGATGATAAAGATGATGACAAAAAGTATTCTTCATAATGAGAAAAGTAACTGAATTTTTACCATGAACACAAGCATTGTATCATAGTGTAACAAAAAAAAATGTTCCTCTCCATGATGACAGCTCTCGACTCAAGGAAAACTGAGATCAACTTTATGTGAGAGACTGCTACTTCTACTAGCACTACATCACAGTGGAAACAGCAACTGACAAGTGTGTGCATAATGTGGGTGTAAACAAAGGCTGTATTGAGGATTTCCTTCATGCAATAGAACATTGATTTCATACCGGCCTTGGGCTGATGATGCAACCAGGAATGCTAAATCAGACCCATTTTTTTTTATCATAGGAAAAAAAACGTAAGTCATTTCAGAATGGAAAAAATAATGTTTCATACCTCCAGCTCTTTTTCTTCAGCCTTGGACTTTCTCTGGCTCTTCTTTTCATTCTCACTATCCTCTGAGGCTGAGTGTCCCTTCTAAATACAAAAAGGGGGGAAAACACAGAGTGCAAGTAAAATTCACGCAATGATATAATGATTTTGCCAAGAACTATTTTCAACAAAATAATACACTGGGAAGAGACAATAAGAGATTGAATTCAAGTAAATCCTGTTCTTCACTGACGGACAAGTCCTTCACTAGGACAGCAATCCTGTCTGTCCAATTTTTTTAAAATATTAGAGACAATCAGGTTTACAAATTACAATGGCATACATATATTACATATGTAAATACGCAAATTTATCCATACAGTCTAGAACCACATATGGCAAAATCAACAAAGCACACAGGTATTTTCATCAAGTACAAATTTTGCTTTGTTCGAATTTCAGACAATATCAAGGAAGAAAAACAAAGTTGAACAACTGAGTCAAAATAGCCGCCAAATTTTGGTGACTTCTAAAGCTGTAGTGTCCTTGGAAACTGCAAATTTACATTTTTTTGTGCCTTTGATCAACATTTTTCAGTAAAATCCAAGCAGTAATGTTTTTTAAATGGACATAAAAGGTGCTGAGCCTAAAACAAAAAAATCTATAAAAACCACACCAAAGCGCCCACCAACCGCCCACTTCCAAGTTCTAAGGTTTTATGAAGTGGTGTAAGCCATATATCAGAGGAGATATAAGGAGCAGAAACAGTCAGTACAACATCTGTCTTCTCTCACCACATCGTCCTTCCACTGTGAGCTGCTGGAGGCAGAGCCTGTGTCCTCTTCAATAGGAGGGAGGCCACTCCTAAGATTAGAGATTTTAACAGACATGTAAACAAATGTACAGGTGGACAAAACTAGTAGAGAGAGCCAGGAGAACAACTATCACAAGCAAGCTCATATCAATGTTGCCACAGTCAAAGATGGCTAGCAAGCTATTCAGATATTTTCGATCAATAAACAATAGTTAAGAACATAACTTCAGGATGGATGTCCACTCTAAAACAAACAGCTGAAGAACCTCTTTCTAATTCTATAGAATAAGAGAGTGAAGAGATTTGCAGTTTTTCTACAAATTTAAGAAATTTTAAAACAAATCATTATTACAATAAATAATAATAGATTGCACTTCAGTAGCATATCCATACTAGAAAGTTCTTGTACCACAGGAATTTCTAATACATGTATTTCCAAATTTCTCACACTGGCTGAATGAGAGTCACATCAAGAACAAAAAAAGCCATTTCATTAAAAGACAATATCATAATGAAAACATTGGGAGCTCACTTGCTTTTAACTCACTTCAGACGGGTCACACAACAGTTGCGTGACCCCCGCCGCGACGCTCGCGACGAGTCACACGAGCCCTGCGTGACCAACTTTGGAATTTTTTTTTCGCTCTACAAATCACGCACGGATCGCGAGACCCGCCTCGTACCCTTGTTTGGCCAAGCCTGAGCTACTTAGACTTCGTTTCGTATCTCTGGGGCCGGTAGTTTTTAAGTTATTGAAGGTGAAGGACAGTGACCCCAACTGGGGTTGAACAGACCGGAACTCGCGCTTTGTTTTTTTCTATACAGCTCATAGTAATCCGACAGTCGCGTCGTAGTAACGGTCGAAGAAGTCGCATGAACCAGAATCACATAATTTCGCCGTTTTCTATACTTCTGTACGTTTTACTAGTTTTAGTGTCTCAGAATATGATGTGTCTAATAGTTAGGATCCTGGATATGTACCTGAACATGGCCCGAGTCGTAGTTTTAGGGCTAGATCTAGCACTAGTACCGGTGTTGTTTTTCGCGCAACGAAATCACAACGCCGTGCCGTACATCTGTCTCATGTAATTCAGTGTATGGGTCTGAATCAATGCACAGACCAGCTTTTATATATTCACCAAACACTCGCACATGTATACAAATCAAACCAGAACACTTTGAACTTTTATTTTTGTTGTTGTAGTGAATTTCATTCCACTTGTCACGTCTCTGGAAATTTTTTGGAAAATCAAATTCATGCCAATTTTTAAAAAATCATACAAATTAAAGTATTAAACTTAGACAACTTTGGTTTCTTTGTATTAGATTAAGCTTGAATGTTACTTTACTGTGTCAAAAAATAATTACAATAGGGTAATTCTGAGAGTTGTGGTGATTTATTGAAATACCCCCAAAAACGCCAGTCTTCAACGCTTGTGACTGGTGAAAGGGCCCAGTCGCAAGTGAGTTAAAAACAAAAGTTAGATGTCTGCCACAATTCAACAACAACAAAAGTTCTACAGTTTCCTCCGCAAACCCTGATCCATTAGAACTTCACAGTAACATCTATGCTGTAACAGTTGGACTTTTCACAATGTAGGCTACATGAAGGACATAAGTTCCACGCCCAAGTAGAGGTGATATTTTCCCGAGTACCTTTGTCTTTTCGCTGGGATGTTTTCTACACAGCTCCAGGGTAGCCCTAATGAGCAGTCTGGAAGAAGTCCCCCCCCCTCCAGAAAAATCTATATTAACCCTTAAAACCCTATACCGCTGGTAACCGCTGACGCCGTATTTTCCTATACCGCTGGTAACCGCTGGTCTACTTTATCGTTTAATTCCCAGTGCTAAAAACAGGGGATGTAACTCCAAATGACACTGTCGCGAGCAGAAAGTACCGATAATGTCATGAGAGCAGTTCTACACCGAAAGTTTGGAAATTTTGCTAGTTTTTAAGAAAAATTTGTCACTTTTCGCTACCAGGCCCTTCAGACCGCAAAATTTTTGACATTTTTGATCCTGAACCAGACCCAAATAACAATCTCCTAGTCGGATATATCAATAACTATGACCGTTGAAGACGATTGCAATGTTCCGCATAACACCGATGATGATTTTGATGATAGTGGAATTGGCAGGGGATCACCACTAAAGCTACCAGAGGCTAAATCTACGGCTGGGTCTAATGATACTTTGACTGAAGTGGAGTCGGAGATCACACACAAGACTTAACTCATAGAGTTGGTCCTAAAAACCAGTGTTTTAACCTTTTCCCCTTTTGTTCAGACTGTGCATTCATATAAATAACATTTTCAAACTTCAGTAAAATCTAACAACAATTAAAGACACAGTAAACAAAACAATGAACCAACCTAATTTTTTCTAGTATCTCAATTTTAATTCAGGATTCTAGGGAGGTATGAAAAAAAAGAATTAAGGGCTTTAATGGTTAAGTCGAGGGCATGAAATATTTGCAACATTGGTGAGACTCTCACTGGCCCCAATAAGCAGTATTTTTTAAAAAGCATTCCTCCTGAATAATCTGCATTGTGTAAGTTGGGGCTTAAAATATCAACAACAGTATTGCTGCATCACTTACTGGCTCAACCTCTGTCCCTGCATCATGGCAAACGTGCTGCGGGGGTTGGCAAGCTCCCGGAGGCAGATGCGCAGGAAGTCAGCACAGGCATCGTGACGGAACTCCTCGGCCAACTTGAGAGCCGTGCGACCGAAGGCATCCTCAGCTGGCAGAGAGGCACGGTTGGCCACAAGCCACTTGACACACTCCAGATGACCACTGGGGTGGGGGGGGGGGGGGGGGGGGGAGAAACAAACACAGTGACTAGTCACAACATGGAAACTACAGAAGTGAGTAACAGATATATAGACAGAGCTTCATATAACATACAGATCATGGGTACCAAAATGTGTGGAAAAAAAGAGATCAATGGCATTATGAGGCATGTGTAAAATGAGGATAGAAGGCATACATCATGCCTTGGGGCCTTGTGTAACCTAGAACCAGACAGCACCAAGTACCTTGCTACACATGAATACAGGAAGTACCAAGCGCCTGTATATTATAAAGACAGAGAGGACCGAGTGCCTTTAGGAACATAAAGATAGAGAGCACTGAGTGCCTTTAGGAACATAAAGATAGAGAGCACCGAGTGCCTTTATGAACATAAAGATAGAGAGCACCAAGTGCCTTTAGGAACATAAAGATAGAGAGCATCAAGTTCCATGAGTAGCATAAAAAGAGAGATCATCCAGTGCTTTGTGTAACAGTGACATGACACATAGTCATACGATGGTACAAAACAACGACATTCTGACACATTTCTCTTACCTCTTAGCAGACAAGTGCAGAGCCGACTGTTTCTCTGCTGTCAAGCCAAATATGGAGGATCCCATCGCCTGAAGCAACTGATGACAGAAAATGTGATGATTGATTCACTTCTTTGTTTGAGCTCACAAGAGGCACAAGAATAGAAAAGACTAGACAATACATGGAACCAATGACAATACACTGAACTAAAAGATGAATTGAAAAGAAGTAAAAGTCACCGGTGACATCTTCCACAGTGGTTGGAAATCATGCTAACATAATAAGACACACACTCCCCCCCTTTCCAATGTCACTTCTTAAAATGGGAAGCAATTCACATACAGAGCAATGGGTAAGGATTTGAGATAAAGGAAGACACAGACACTGCTCCAATTTGAGCTTTGGTTCAAAGGACCAACTTGCTGGTAAGACCCTTGCCTCTGATAGCAATATAACTGGTTCAGTCCTCAGTTCACTCAGGCATGCTGAGTGGAAAACTGTGAAAGGGTTTTCTCAGACTTTTCCATTTTGATCAAGAAGTAGGTGAACAAAGAAGAAAACCTTGGAAGTCTTAGTGCCTTTTTTTAGCACATTCAAGATACCTTCACAACCAAAAGTAAAAAAAGAACCAGCCAGCCTATGCAAAATTTTGCATCAATCCAAGCCCCAAATTGAACAAACTGATCACAATGAATAATAAAGACAAAATAATATTTAAAAAACATAATAATAACAACAAAACTAAATATGGCTGACCAAAGATAAAGACAATCACATTCTATTAGGAAAGTAGACACAGACCAACAATTGCTAATTTGACTCCTAAACCACTTGACTAGGATTCCATTCTGGGGGACAAACATACTTTCTTTGGAAAAAAATATTATATGTGAGGCAGCTTGGTGGAATCAGGGTCTCGTCAAAATAATCAAAGTGAAGAAACTTGCACTTTTCCGCAGGTGGGCGAATTTTTTATCGAATTTTAGTTTTTTGGCTCAACACCTTTCATGCCCATTAAAGAGCTCATTTCTGTGCGAATTTTTCTGAAAAACGTTGATTAAAGGCACAAAAAATGTAAATTTTCTGTTACCACGGACTCTTAAGCTAAGTAAATAACTAATCTTTGGCGGCAATTTTCTCACTGATTTTACCTCTGAAAACAGGAGACCCCCACCTCCTTCTTTTGCAAATATTTCGACTTGTATTCAAGATAAATGGACATTTTTTACATCCAAATAAAGACAAGTGAACAAGCTTTAAGATGATACAAATGACTCTACATGCCCAAAAAGTGACGAGAGCCTGATTCCAACACGCTGCCTCACATATCATATTTTCCAGTCGATCCAGCACTGAACAAAAACTACACATATGACTGGGATGAGGCATTGTAATGATCATTGACAGCATCTAATTTAGAGCAACAGTATACACGCTTTTCACAGGATTATGAACGACCACTCTGCATCCAAGTAACATACAATGTAAAAGAAGATATAACAAAATAAATCAGATGAGAGGAGTTCCTGCCCATACCATCATGGAGCTGACATGGCCATTCATGGCAGCAATGTGCATAGCGTTGTAGCCTGTGGACGTCTCTGCATTGATGTCCGCCTCACTGGTCAGTAGCCATCTCAAAAGTTCGATGTTTCCTCTGGCAGCTGCGAGGTGCAAAGGTGTCCAGCTGCTCTCGTCTTTAAAACTGACAAATGTAAAAAAAAGCAAATCTGAAAGAGGGACATAGACTCTAGGTTTACTACATAGATGTAATTTCACTTGTAAAGTACATTACAAATGCATATTATCAGTTACAAACCATTACCCCACTCCACGATAGTCCTAAAAAGAAATCAAACGAACAGATTCAAATCACAGTCCATAATGTCTAAGTTATATCCATATATATTCAAACACTAGTCCATCACTGCAGATAGTGGTGTTTAAAATATATTGATCCACATCTTATGTCAAGCCTTTCAAACAAGTCGAATATATTTTAAAATATGTACTTGATATACAGTATATCCTCATCATATGGGGTATATATCAATCTATCTACCAGCACAAAACAGATCCTGTAACACTGACCTGTTTAGAATTGGAAGGTCTATGTCAACAGCTATTGTTGTACGGAACAAAATAATTAAGGAGATAATAAGAAACATCAAATCGAAATAAAATATCCATCTGAGCAATATATGGAAGAAAAGGGCTTGTTTAGAAAAGAAGATAATAGTACATCTATAATAGCTCATGGATTGGCACTGAATATCGATGATGCATTGAGAATTGGCAAGGAAAGAGAAAAGTCGGGGCATTAAAGGTCGAATCTGGTCAATGTTGTCCTAACCCGCTGTAAACTTTAACTGAACTGAGCACAAGCAAAAACCACAAAGGGAGCTCACTCTCTCATCTCAGGGAAATGGTGCAGCAGATCCTTGACTCTGTCCACATCCCCATCCCGCACTGCCTCGTGAATACTCTTGCCCTGGAGCAATGCTCGCTCCATCTCTCTTTCTCGCTCAAGCCCTCTCTTCTTCTCAGCTTCTGATGCAGATAGTGCTGTCTGCAATCAAAGAAAACATGACAGAGTCATCAGTTGTAATAACAATTGAACAATAAAGTCTGGCCTAAATACAAAAAGGAGAATTCGACATAAATACACAAAAAATACAGTTTTTAATTTAACAAAAACACCACAGAATGAAATACCCAAGACATGATAAAACAGTCTGCTGTTTACAGTCACAGTGATGCTGTACAAAACAATGAGGGCAAACGGTAGCAACATTTTTGTTATATATCAGAAAAAACCTACCAATGACACATGACACCTGCCACCATCACTAATTGTAGCTGAACAGACAATATGGTCTTCTATATGAACATGAACAATAATTTTCAATGAATTCAGTTAAACAAAATCCACTGCAGACACATACAGAACGAGTACACTCAAAAAGCAATGACATCATTTTCCTAATGACAACTTTCTCAGAATGATCACACTCCCACAACAATTACATTATCAATCCGACTATATCCTCTCAAAGACTGCATTCTCAAACATATTAACAATATGACAACAAAAACTGAAGACCCTCATGTATCAAACCCATCACGCAATGTTCACACAATAACCTAGATCAATACCAAACTCCCCTTTGAATAGCTCTTGCACTTGGATAATCTAATCCAAGAACCTGTATAAGAAAATGTAAACCAGCCTCAATGTGGCAGGCCTTATCAGGATTTACTTCTGTAACAGAAAAGCACAGAAGCTATACCACCAGTAAACCATTCCCACACTGGTACCTTATATCCCTCTAGAAAATCAGAGCCAGACTTGGCATTAGCGGCTCGTCCCTTGGGCTCCATGAAGATCTCGTCCACTTGCTGGGAGTCAGTGGCAGAATGGAGCGTTATCACAGTCCCAGCCCGTGTCTTCTCCTCGTAGTCGTCCTTAGCCACCTGAATGGAAGGAATTGGGATGAGCCATGATATGAACAGTGCACAGAGATTATATGTGGCAACCACCTAGCCGAAGACAAAATAGGATATTTTGTATTGTTTTGTGTTGTTGAAATTTTCCACCCTACTGGACACAAAATATAGTATACCCAATGCTGTCTCCCTATTGGAACTTCCGGAAGAGGGGAACATTTTCAGAAAGAACATGAGAAGTTTAGACTCTACCTGGAATTGAAACTCATATTCTTGTTGGCAAAGTCACATTTGTATCAAATCAGGTAACATCACCAGCTATAGATCGTGATGAAAAACCACAAAGACAATGAGGTACTTCAACTGTGAATGAAAGATGAGCCAGTAACCATCATCAACAGTTAGTAACTCTTGTCAGTGACCATCAAGAGTGGCCATCACCAAGCAACAACCTAGCGTTTATGAATCAAACAAATATCAGTACACAAGCCTCAACTCTCTTTTATGCAAGTTAAAAAAAAACAATTGGTAAAATGTATGAAAAATTGACTGTCAGCAGAATAAACCATAAAAATGAAATTAATAAGTATTGAGCTTAAAAACTGATTGTTAATGATTAACGATCCCCAACTGACACAACTTGACCATATAAAAGTGGGCTGCTTCTACCTTATTGTTGTCAATGCAAACCAGATTAGTGTGGCATACTACACCCACACAACAAGACTAAGATGCTCTATAAAACATCTTTCTCTCAAAGACATCAAATTCACATCTGTATATTAAGCAAAGAGCCTAAACTTTAGACCGCCGACACAGTGATATTCAATTTTGAGTAGAACAGTTTCGTTTAGTACAATTTGTACTAAACGACAATGGACATGGAAACCACAATGACCTTTTTCTTCTGCCGTGGCGTAGAGCCATGCTCATTGACAGGAACTTCGGCGTCCTGTGAGCGGCCGGAGCTAGAGCTGTCAGAGCTGTCGGTGTCGCTGTAGTCATCGCCCGGTCGCACCCGTGTGCTCACATTGTCCTCTCCTTTCGGCTGGTACCGGAACGCCTCACTGGGTGTCGATGATTCTGGCTCTGCAGAGTATCTGTGTTTTCTCGTGGACTTCTCCAAGCCAGCTTCATCCCCCAGTGCTGATTGTAGCGAAACAGGCAAATGCACATGTAGTATTCATGTAGTATCTACCTGCTAAATATTGATGAAGTACCAGAAAACTGAACATACATGTAGTACCAGCAGGTTTAACGTACATTGCACGCAAGCACGTCTTAACTACAAGAATGAGCTACTCAAAGTCCTGTCTTTTTAACTTGGAGCATTAAACGAATTCTTACAGCTCTCCTTTGACATGACTCTAGAACAGCTACACAAGGGTTCCCATCTCTTAAATATCTACGCTATTTTGATAAGCTTGTTAACCCATTCTATACCATACCTCTCTCTCTCTCTGTTTTTTGTGTTATTAAAACACAACTGCAATTAGATACTGGACATGTATCATCAACAAATACCCCCCCCCTCCCCCAAATATGTTTCTTCGCTCAAAAATACCACAACCTCTTTCTTGTCCGTTGATAAAAAAATTATTTCCAGACCATAGGTATGCACCGTTATAACAACCGTGTTCCAAGACTTCTCTACGTTTGTAACCTTGTTCTAAGATGACAAGTCACAGCCAAATGTTAGATACACATCATCAATATATCATTATACTGCAATCTTCTCTGAACATTTTCATCTCACTACAACACACATGTTCAAAGATATGTCATACCCACCATCAATAAACTCTCTCTCACGATCAACTTGAAGCATACGGTATGTCTTCTTATCCCCGGCCTGTCCAGAAAGCCACTGTTCACAGGGGAACTGGAAAATCCTCCTTGCATGCATGTCGTAGACAGTGACCCCTTCCAGATACCATGCATAGCCTGATACAAAGGGAGGAAAGTACAATGAATAAAACAGTGTCAGAAAACAGAAAACAAGAGTCACATAGTATTAACCATTCTATCAGAATAGATTTTTCAATGCCACAAACAGCTTATGTGTCAAACATCTAAACATACTGTCAGAGACCACGGTATCAAATAACTGCTAGACTAGAAAGTCCTGTTGAAACAACAAATGAAATGATAAAAAATGTCCATGAGTATTTCATAAATAACCTTTGCAACTTCTTTTGTTTTATTTTTATGACCCCCCCCCCCCTCCCCCCTTGAAGATTTGCACAAATTACAGACAGTATTAGTGAACAACATGGTTAGTAAGGCAAGATGTGCTGCAACCTCTGGGACATACTTAGCTCAGGCCTGTCGTGGCCAATCTGTATTCTCCTGATCCTACCAATGTGATGCGCCGCCAGCATGAAAAGATCTTCCTGCAAAGTCCATAACAAAGAAACGTTACGACAAATACACACAAAAACTGCCTGTTGAGAGCAGTTACTAAAATCAGAAATTGATAAAAATAAAAGCTTTTTCTTGTAATATAAATACAGAATTATTGGAGAAATAGAAACCAAAACACAAAGTACAGATGAGAAATGTATCAGAACAGTATAATTTTAAATTGACCCTAATGAAACTGACGCACAGAGAAGCCCATACATGAGACATCCTGGAAATGGAAGCAACTACAAAGATAAACATTAATACTTTGAGAGAAGTACAGGAAAGAGAAGTCTACACAAGCAAAGGAAGCACAAATGAAATCAACATAACTGACACATAGCATGACTTGTCTTGTGCATAAGTGGGCATTTTAATTCAAACTATGTCTGCATCACACTTCTCATGTGGATCTAAGAAATTTCTTCCTCATTTTCTGCTGCCATTTTGTGGTTGTCGAGAGGTCTCTCACTGGACAACTTTCAATTTATCATACCCCCTGTGACCATTTATGAAACAGGCTGCTCCAACCCTCCCTGACAGGGCCAACTAAGGTGGAGTGGGAGGAATCCCACAAGAAAGCTGTGATTCTCAATAAAATATCTTTCCCATATGGAATTTGAATTGATGTCTTTGGCACACATGATGAAGAGCCTGAACCTTGCACCAAAGATCCTGGTAAAAGTCTCTCACCTTCCCTTTCTGGAATGGGATTTTGTGGCGTTTGGAGTCATTGAGAATGAACTCCTTTGTTCTGCCCTTCTCCCCGTACATTGTCAGCTTGATGGGTGCCTTTGTGCTGGAGCCAATACGCGTGCCCGTGCAGACATAGACCTGGTACTCACACCATGCTCCATCATCGACCTCCTCCTCCAGCTGCAGAAACAAGAGGGCAATAGCAAAGATTATGGGTTGAACTGGCATACCATTCACAAAGCAACTGGGCAGCGTAAGATTCCGTCATACATCACTTTTTTAAACGGCATTTGGCCGAGTCTTACACTAAGAAGTCACAATGTAAAAATTTTCATCTGAGTAAAAGTTTTCATTGTTTCTGAATAAGAAAAATACCATGCCAACTTAAAACTATTTTTTTTCCTTCTCCTGGGATGTTGTATATTTGAGGTACAATGACCCAAAAACAAGGTTTTATTAAATTCATGCACATCTCAATACTGCTAAACTAATCTTTTGACAGCGTCTCTCAAAGAGAAACACACACTGATTTAAAGAGAAGGCAAGAAATAACCTACACTCTTCCTGGCTGAAGGACTGCATAATTAATAGAAAGAGCCAAAGCCGCTAACAGCTGTTCCAACTGCAAGCTACTGGGAGCGGCTTGCCGGAGGTAAGTAGCTAAAAAAGCCTTGAAAAATTTTTACAATTATTTTTACACGATGAGACCAGGGAGCTGTGGATTATGAGGCCTGTGCTGTGTCCCTTAACCTACACACTACACGAACTCCCCTTAAAGACAACAGAACACAGAAGCAGAAGACACAGGGGCCACAAGGATCTACGACCTTGTCATATTTCTCCAGCAGCTGCCGATCATGCTTGGTTCCCACGTCAAAATCAGCCGCCGTCTGAGTAGCCCTGATCACAGCCACTTCCTCCTGGGCCCTGCGCTGTGGCACATTGATGACTGTGCGTGATCGGTACTTGGCTGACTGCGGCCGCACGGGTGGGTGATCATCGGTGGACGTGCTTGTGGCAGTTGTCGCTGACGTGGTTGTTGCTGTGCTCTGGGATGGAGTTGGTGATCTTGGCCGAGATTGGGCTGAAGTGGCTCTGAAATTCAACCCATCACAGCATTACAGATTGTTAGTAGTCAAAGCATTTAGTTTAATCAATATCAATAATAATAATAACAATATAATGTAAAAACAACTCTCCCCAAGAAAACACACATATAACTGTAATGTATTTTTTTTAAGCCACGTACAAAAGAAACCAATAACCCTCTATTACACATTTGTACCAGAACTTGAAACTCAAACAAGGTGATCTTGAAATATAGAAGAGGTATCACTAACCTGGGTTTATCGATGTAGGAGTCATCATAGGCCTAAGGAGACAGAGAAGAAAAACACCCTGTGAAAAGTCTATCATCTCATTGATACCAAAGGAAGGGGTATATGGGAGTGGTGGGCAGCGGAGACATGGAAGGGGAGATGGAGGGAGGGCAAAAAAGATGGTTGGAGGGTGAGGCGTCCTCGTGTACAAAGCAGGCAAACTGAAAAAAAAAATGCCAGTTGCATCTGCCATTGCCATCAGCTCTCTGTCCTGTCATACAGAGAATCAGCATTTGTGAAGTGAGAAAAAGACTTGGATTAGGAGGAAATGTGGAGCGGGAAACATAGACATGACATGAAAACTACACACACCCACAAGCATTTTATGACTACATGAAAGGACAAGATGCAAAGACAAAACAATGATAAAAAGAGTGGGGTTTTTTTACTAAGGCAAAAGAATAGAGATATAAAGATCAAACAAAAACATGAGAAAATAAGGAAGTGGGAGAGATGGATATGAGAGGCGGCAAGGTCAGGTCACAGCCAGTGGAATTGTTGAGGTGACTGGGAGCATGTAGTGGAGAGGGGTTAGCAGGAAGAAACAACCCTGAGAAAAGATCAGTCTTATGACTAGTTCAGTTTAACTTAGGTAAAGAGGTGCAGATTGACATGATGTTGGCCATTTAGTTCAGGGGAAAAGTATCAAACAGTAACAACAAACCAGTGGCGCCCTCCAACCATTCACATAAGTTTTATGGTGCACACAAAGGACTCAGTGAAATAGACTGGACTGGGTTGTCACACAGAATATGAATTAAAGTGGCAAAGAGGATGGAGTACATGTGAGGCAAAGGAAAAAGAGTCCGAAAGGGGGGGGGTTGCAGTGTGTGAGGACCTGATGACAGCATAGACTTAGAGAAAGAGACTGGAAGGTCACAAAGAGGACAGCTATATACGAGATAACTAAAGATATCAAGAAGAGTGGACCAAAGGTTATTAACTCCCTCACCAAGTCAAGATCATGATTGTCCTTGTAAGCAGAAAAACACATTTCTGCATCAGAAAACACAAGGCAGATATGAGGTGTGCAACTTACACTGGTGGTTAGAGAGAAATACGCCAGTCAAAGACTGGAGTGAGTGTAGAAAAAAAGATATCCAAGTGAAATCATTATGGGTTGTTGTTTTTTTCCAATCCTACACAGAAATTCCTGACCTGTGCTTTTATAAAGCTTTTGACAATGTCAACTTGAAGCATGCAGTACGTCTTATCTTTGCTTCGAACTCACTCACTCACTCTGTAAAACTTAGACCACACAAGGTCCTGCTTTCCATGATAAAGCTGTTGTTAAGACAGAGGATGTCCCTGAGAACATTACCCTGGTGAGCCTGTCATAAACACAGAGAACAGGTTAATATCTACTGATGGTCACGATTTTCCATAGAGAATACCTTTGGTCTGGCACGGCCCGCCTGGCTCTTGTGGGAGTCCCAGGAGTACTTGGCCGTTGCAGGTCGTCTGCTTCCCTGCTTGATCAGTGGGGGAGGGTAGATGCATGTGAACTCATAAAAAAACATTGTACATGTTCAAGAGCAGTGTTTGTCAACCTTTTCGTGGCCAGCACCAACTTTTGCCACCTTTTCAAAGGCTAAAATGTTCAACCACACATCAATACGTATTTCCAAGCAGGGCTTTAAATAACACCAGTCACTACCCAAGTGATGCCCACAGCCCACAGAAATGACAAAATCAACCACTAATAGGCGATACAGGCCAGCTTGGCAAGCACTGGTCTAGAGAGACAGACTAGAAATTCCAACGGAGTCCGATCTCTAAATGCTTCTGACGTCAATACATACAAACAGACCACAAGCATATCTTAGTCAATTAGTTCAGAGGAAATTGAGGAGATCTTACAAGTTGCCAGAGGATTTCACAAGGATATGAACTAATTATGTTCCTTTATTAATATGCAAATCATGTGTGTCAATCAAATAAGTCAAAACGACTGCACATAGCTGGAGTATTCTTTCAATAAGTCCAATCTGATTCTTAGTTAAACAAAAACAAAACTAATAAAAACGTACATTACACAGGTAAACTCAGCTGATACTTTTGTATACACTTATGCTAGTTTGATTGAAGGATCAGAAGGCTAATCTTGGAACTGTTTGTGATAGTAAACCATTGTTTTAAACTGAATAGCGTGAACATGGCAATCTTGTTTTATTCTTATTGTTTTTAATCGTTTGTAAGTAAGGAACTTATGAAAAAAACTGGTATCTATCTTTGCATGGGAATTGGTGTTACAGGAAATGTCACATTACAGGAGTTAGTGGAGAAAGCCAGGAAATCCCCAAATGAAAAAGTGGTAAACTTTCTACACACAAAACAATAGAAATTGTGGGTATCCATTTGTGTGTGAATTTGAATGTGTGTCTGAATATAATGTGAGTGTATGCATAATGTGAGTTTGTGTGTGTGTGTGTGTGTTTGTATGTGTGTGCACACACATTAGTATGGGGGAGAGTGCGTGTGAGTGTCATGCCAAATACATAATATGCATTCACAAACACAAACAAACCGGCTTATATACCCATACAGGTAGACAAAGTGACTGAGCGAGAGAGAGAGAGAAAGAGAGAGAGAGAGAGAGAGAGAGAGAGAGAGAGAGAGAGGCACAAAGAGAGAAAGGCACAGAGAGAATGCAGAGTGGCGTAAGAAAATCCCATCTTTGATCAGTCTGAGTTTGGACAAACTAAAGACAGATTCCACTTTAGATTATGAAAAGGATGATAATGTGTGACTTTCATATGAGCAAAATTGAGGCTATGACATGTGCAATATAGTAGGCCCCTCATGATTGATCAGAAGTGACATCAAGACATGTGACAACAAAAACTGTTCAAAAACTGACAGCCACAGTGATGATATAACAGAAATACAAAGTGTATCTTAAAGGGAAATATACTTATGTGTTACACATGATATAAGAGATAAGTGAACAAAGAGAATGAGTTCATGCTTTACACATCATATATGAGACATAGGGATCATAGCAAATGTACATGGGTCCCGCAGGATGTGAGACATGTGCGTGTCATACAGAATGTATGAGTGAGTGTGTTACACCAGATATGGGAGACATGAGAGATATGGGAGACATGAGAGTTGGGTGAAAAGCATGAGTCATATTAGATTGCAGAGCTAACGCACATGAGTGTCACAATGGATAAGTGAAACGTGAGAGTCAGACGGCATGAACGTATCCCACTGAATATGGGAGATATGCATGTCACACAGCAAAGTGCACGTTACAAAGATATTCGAGATGTGTGCTTCAGATGGCATGCGTGTGACCCACTGGATATGGGAGATGTGAACACATCTAAAGCATGCGTGTGTCACATTGGATAAGAGACTTGTGTGTGTCAGCCAGTGTGTAAGGAGTCCAGTGCGGTATACCTTACGAGGTCTTGGGGCAGACTGGCCAGTCTTACTCTCGCTAGGGGCTCTGGTTTTGTCTACCTGGTCCACAACCGCCTGCCAATAGCAAGTTTAAAATCCGCTACACTGAGTCCTTGTCATATGCGAGGGCAAAAATCCGGCCAGCAGTAGTATGGTGTGGAGAACATTCCATATCAATCAAATACTTCCATATAGAAAATCATGATGAGTCCCACAGGCGGTACCCGAATCGTCTCCCCAACAATTGGATGATACTTGAACACTAACGCAACATAAACATAGAAACCCAAAACAATGTCTGGATAATATTTCACCAATGTAAAGTGAAACTGATGAAAATAAATCATAATAATAAGTTTATCAACTTGCGTACTTGATATAAGGTGACAGTTGGTGAGCTTCTTACCCCCTCCCCCCCCTGATAAAAGACATTGTACAAGCTTCCTCTCAAAACCTTGTTTGACTTGCCAGTGGCGTCATAAAGGCTCCAACAAACATAAACGGAGAAAAGGTTGGACTTCATTCCCGTGAAATAAGAACATGGTTTAAAAAAAACTCATTGCATTGCATTATAGTACGTTCTGAAATATTTGTTGTCAAGTGCAGTGATAAGCATATTTGTGGACAGGATTTGATTTCCACAACTGATTCTTACATTCGTGGTATATTTCCTACAAGTATGTAATGAACAGCTAGAAAAACAAATGTGTCACGACGTAGCGGAATCAGGCGCTCGTCAAATTTTGAGCGTATGGAGTTATTAGTATCATCTTAAAGCCTGTTCATTTGTCTTCCTTTTGGTGAAAAATAATATCCACTTATCTAGAATAGAAGTCGAGATATTTGCAATTGAAGGAGGTGGGGTCACCTGGTTTCAGAAGTAAAATTAGCAAAAAAATGGCCGCCAAAGTTTGGTGACTTCCATAGCTAAAGAATCCTTGGTAACTGCACATTTACATTTTTGTGCGCCTTTAATCAACTTGTTTCCATAAAATCCACACACAAAAGTGTTTTATAATGGACATAAAAGGTGTTGAGCTAAAAAACAATTTTTTTTTTAAATGTCCAAACTGGCCAAAAAATGCTGCTTTCTCGGATTTCATTATTTTGACGAGCGCCTGATTTCACCACGCTGTATCACAAATGAAGAAGTCTTGGTTGAAGCAAATTGCAGACGACAGCTTATGACGAATATACGAAAGCGACAGGCAAATGTCATTGGACGCACAATGTGGAAAAAAGCATTGAAGAATATTGTAACAACAGGCAAGTTTGATGGAAAGAGAGGCAGAGGCAGACAGAGGGAAAGATACTGGACAAGTTAACAACATGGCTGGGAACAGCAAGAACAACAGACACCATTGCTGCAGTGCAGGACAGAGGGAAGTGGAGGTCCATGATTGCCAACGCCAGTCAGCAAGGCACCTGATGATGATGATGTAGTATCCCCCGCCATTCAGGCAGCTACATAGCCTTTCTGAAGATACTTTTAATATGCCATATTGACCCAATCTGCTTAAGATCTTTGCATAAATTCAACAAGCTCCTCCGCACAGTCAGCCAGATCAGACCTGCTTTTCTCCCATTTTCAACATTTAAGTATTTTTGACATGCACAATGTAAACATAGGTTTTTCATCTCTATCTGAGACCGCTCGGGACCAGGTGTGGGAAAAATACAAGGAAAGAAATGTTAGTCATCCTCTTAGATGCTCACAAAAGTTGCAATTAAACCAATCACCTTGGCATGAGAGGCAAGTACCATAAACTAAGTTGAGCTAAATTAAGAGTGTGTTTCAACTTCCTGAAAGTAACTTCAGGGTTTCTTTATCTCACCCTATTCTCAGGGTCACTACAAGACTATGAGACTTACTGAGGCCACAAGAATCTTGGTGGCTGAGTTGACCAGCCTGGTGGCCTCCCCTCTGGAGATGTGCTGGTCTGGGACAGACCTCAGGGTAGGCCAGCCTCCAATCAGATTTCTGGGAAGAATTCAGATGAGAGTGGTTGTGCGGGAATGTAGGTCACAAAACGTGAAGACCACAGATGCACACCAGGAGAGCAACCCCCTCTAATGAAAGTATAACACGCATGAATATTAAAGTACAAAGGAACCTATTATGTAGCCTTTACTTTTAAAGCATCCATTGTCTATGTGAACAATTTTTGGAAAATGTGACAAACGTCATCTTTCAAAGTTTGACCAAAACTGATACCATCTAGTAGACTACAAATGTGAGCTCAACAACTGACTTCCTTTTTCACAAAATGTGATTAATTTCTTTTAAGCTTAAACAACAGTAGTGACACCTTTTAAGAGTCAACAAATTTTAGCAAATTGAAACATGTCTTTTCAGTGTTGATCAAGTTCTTTCAGAGGAAATTATTTAAAATAGAGATTGATATCGCCTTTGGTAATTCTAATGCCATATTATTTTATTTTTATGTTTGAAAGATACGTCTCATAATTGAGTTCAAAGCAAAGACAAAAAAATACAGATTGTAATAGTAATAAATTGGTGTATTCAGCATGTTGAACTTTACAAAATCTAAAATTCTGGTGTTTTTTAAAGAAGCATTATTATAGTCTTATATTAGAAATGATATCATCAAATAATGTTTTTTATTTGTTCAAAATGTGAATTGAAACTCATTAGAAGCAGATTTGTTTCATTTTGTATAAAAACTGGAACTGGATAAGTCAAAAATTTATGGAGAGCTCATCCAACAAGGATTTCATAATAAATAATACAACAATTTCAGCTTAACTCTTTTTGTTACAAGTGCAGATACATTGATACCTTTCATCTCACTGGTCTGATTATGTGCCGAAAATTCCTGGCACATAAACAGTAACATTTACATCATGTTTACCTTATAGACAAATTCGTTAAGGTAATTCCAGTAAATAAGAATCTAGGAATCTTCATTTTTGTCCTAATCAGAGAAAAGGACATGTCACATTTTGTCACAAAACTGTTCCTATTATTTTTCTGTCCTTCTTTTTATATCTCTTACCACTAGGCTGAACAATCCACATTCAAAATGACTTGAGTCCAGTAGGACATCAAAGCAATACAAACATCAAGCAACTACTGGGTGCTTGGACTCACTTCGGTTTTTTGGCTCTATGGAGGACTCCAGTGGCTTTGGTGTTCATCTTACAGCCCTTGGGTGTGTGGTAGTAGTAGCAGCTGGGCAGTGTGTTCTTCTGCAATATGAGGACACATATGAGTTGAGACAAAACATGCACTGAAATAACGAACTGCAACATACGTACAAAATAGACATTGGAACAGAGCAAAATGACATATTAGAATAGACATTGAAATTAGAATAGACATTGAAACTACACACAAGGACACCCATTTAGAATAGACACTGAAATACTGCAATTCGACATACATGTAGAACAGACTGTGAAATAACATCAAGGTACTTAAGAACAGATGGTGAAACAGCATAGAGGGACATACATGTAGAATAGAAGTTGAAACACAAACAAAATATGAAACTATATGAAAGGACATAAAATTAGAATAGAAGTTGAAATAGCATAGACAGACATGCAAATCAGACAGAGGTTAAATAGACACATGGCAGCTTATGCATGCAAAAGACACCGATTCAATATGCAAAGATTTGTCAGAGAGTGTTGTTGGAACCTTTAGTAATAAGATACATGGTATGTAATGTAGTGACACACTGTGAAATGGGTCAGAATGGGTTGGGGGGAGTATGATTGGGCGGAAAGATACCATGAGATGTTCACTGTTTCTGTAACAGGTTGATCGTCTCAATGTCCTTGGCTGACAGGTCATATGACAGTTAAAGTGCGTGAGAACTGCTTTTAACTCTTTGCCTCCACAGTTTTCTATTTCTGTGACATGAAAACCATTCACAACGGTGGCAGATAAATACCCATAACTTTTGTATGAATTTTACGGCACATGCATGGCAACTAGATCATATAAGTGCTGAAAATTAGAACTGTTACTAGAGAGTAACATACAAACAAAAAAGGAGGAGTATAGATGTGGATGATAGAGGTCTGATAAGAAAGAAGCATCTACCGTCCTTACCTCTCCTCCTTCTTTTCTTCTTAAGTAACTTTAAATTGAAAAGTAATTGATTGAAATAATAATAATAAAAATAATAATGATAATAACAAATAATAATATATGACATTTATATAATTTTGATTTCAGTATCAGTGGGGGGGGGGGGTGAAAGAATAGTTATAATACAAACAAAAAATAATAAACACATAAACACATATAAGAAAAAGTTGACACTTACGAAAAGAGAGAGATAAAAAAAATTATTTAAAATAACCCCAAAAACATTTCACCCTCAGTCCAAGAATGCAGGTGTATATTTCACTACTACATCAAAATTCTGAGCAGGAGGACGAAGTATAATCATAATTTAGGTAGCAACAGTTAAAACTTTCCCAATAGATCAACTTTTTGGAACGTTCTTCCTGTTTTATAAGCAATATTTTGGAGGTCATAAACCTGATGACCCAGACTGGATACATATTGACAAACTCAAACCAAGGACCCTTACTTGCGTGAAATACAAATCATCTTAATTTTGTTCCATCCAATGTTCTAGTTTCATTTTGTATTTATTTTAGTAAGAGATTTACAGCTCTTACAACACAATTAGGTCACACAAGTGCCGAAGATTAAAGGTGATATAAGAGAGTAACAATCACAAAACAGAAGGAGGGATAAGGACGATAGATGTTTGATAGGACAGGAGTAAACCACATCAGACCACCCGTCAACCGAACACTTCTAGTTTTGTGAAATTTGGTAAATGTGAAATAACTTCTACAATCAACAACAAATATAGCATAAACAAAGGCTGCAATAAAAAGAGATAGGTCCATCCGGGCCATTTACAGAAGCCAATGTATTGGCACACAGTAGGAAAAGAGTTAAAAAGAGATACGCTTAACTGTTCTGTAAAATAAGTTTTTAAAAACCATCCAATCACAACTGGACACTGATACATCAAGGTTAAGATCAACTGAAAAAATATAACTTTATAGATCATAGTTAAAACGCATCTGTGTGTGCTGATATTTTCTGTTTGTTCAAACATCAAAAACTGATACAATATGTGTATACACTTGTCATACATGGTGAAATAGTTAGGCTTTTTTCCAGCATATTTCATCAAGTAATTTCTGTCTTTCTGCTTGAGCGTTGTGTCCTACTCCACTTGAGTTGATGCCGACAAGCTGAGTGAAGGATACCGCTCTTCAACAATGATCAAAATGGTGTTGATGGTGACACATAGATTTACAATTTACCTCTCAGGGCAGAGCATTAATTAAGAGGCAGCTTTAATACTGACAAAGAGAAAACAGAAAAAGCAGTTGAAGAGGAAATATAAGCAGTTGCATGCCCGGTTTTGGCCACCCCTTTCAACAAACACCCACACACACATACACAGACACACACACACACACACACACACACACACACACACACACACACACACACACACACACACACACACACACACACACACACGCACGCACACACACATACACACAAATATACATGACACACACATGCATGCACGCACATGCACACACACACACACACACACACACATACACACACACACACACACACACACACACACACACACACACACACACACACAAGTGAGTTGGCCAAACCCCTGATCCTGGCCCTGCAAACATAGGTAAGTTTCCATTGTTTAACTGTAAGTACTGTGTGTTCCTTCGCTTGTTTACACCATTTTAATTTTGAACAACTTTCATTCTTCGGACGACTTCTTAAGGTAAATCATAAGGTCATTTACTTCTCAAAGCTATTTTGATCAAGGCTTAAGACACACACACACACACACACACACACACACACACACACACACACATGCACACACAGGAGTACACATACATAAACATGCACACACACACACATACACACACACACAAACATGCACACACACACATACACATACACACACACAAACACACACACACACACACACACACACGCACACACACAAAAACTCACAAGCTCACATGCATAAACATACATACAGTTTGAGAGAAGAAAGCTATATCGTATGATTGAATAAAGTTTAAATGACTTGAGGCATGCTGATTTTCATAGACATGCACTTGAAATTTACAGTGTGATGTGGTATAACATATCATTTAAGAATAAAATATATACTGGTGATATCTCTGTGCTATGATGAAAGGAAAAAGTTGATACATAAGCGACTCACTCTGTGATGTCTACACACATGCGCAACAAAACAGTCACTCACTCACTCACACACACACTTAAACACACATACACACACACATACATACACACACAAACACACACACTCATACACACACATATACACATTCTCTCATACTAAGGTCCCTTTCACTTTAATCCTATCTTCTATGCAAATCCTCCATGTTAACTGGGAGAAAACTGTTCTCAACTGAACCAATTTGTTCAGATAATTCTCCTTACAATAATCTTTGACTGTCAGATACCTCATTATTATCCCAAATTTGGTAGATTATAAGAAAGTCCAAAAAACTCCAACCCTCAACTTTTCCTCTAAAACAACTGAGACATGACATCCTGAAGAAGTTTGTTTGATGGAACATGACCCTCATGCACTACAGATTTTTAAGCTGATGATGACAGCAACAAGTTTTTCTTCAACATCTGCTGACACCAATCAACTTACCAAAATATTAACCTTTTGTTTGATACAGGAGCAACAGAATAAGCATATATATTCACACTGCACACTGAAAACTGCTCAAATTGCAAACACACCCGAGTGATGTCACAGCTAGCTTTAAGAGAGCCAGTACACCACGTGCAGTGAGTAAAACCATTCATGATACCTTTGGGCTGGCCGGACGTTTTCTTGGGGAGGCATTCAGAAACTCTTCCTGATAACCAATTGTACAACATGTTAACGACCACAAATCCCCTAGAATTATTCCATATAAACAAAGTTCAGGGTATTTGTAGGTTACCAAGAACTGTAAAAGAAAGATAACATGAAAACACAACAGCTGACTTTCTTTCAGAGAGCTGATAGTAAGGTTTTTTGCTTTTTACATAGAAGGGACAAGTTTAATTCCTGCTTTCAGAAATGTATTTTAATGAGTTTCTCTGCCTTTCTGCACTGAAACTGTAACCCAATCAGCATGGGTTGTCCCTAAGGTCAAAGTAGCCCACCTCCCAAATGCTTCAAATTGTGTCAATTGAGGCAGAAAACAATTACGAACACCTCATACTGCTTGTAACTCAACCTTCTCAATCAACAATTCAACTTAAATAACCTAATGATATAAAGAGCAGTAAAAATATATGAACAAATTGAAAGCAAACAATAAATTACAGTCAAAATAGTCTAAGACGACCACCCATTGACAACGAAAAAAGTGACTGTCTTAGGTGGCCATCTTACACAGTGTCATTATAATGTTTACAAAACGCAAGAGGGGGGAAAGATTATCTTATAAGATGGCTGTTACAGCAGGTTCCACTGAACAAGGAGAGGGCAAAAGGGGAAAAGTGTAAATACTCTCAATAACACACTGAATAACCACCATAATAACACAGCAGGTAAGACTACAAATTATAACTACCACATGTTTACAACAACAGGCAAGCCAATGGCAAATACAAAGACTCTAATTTTGAAAAGACCTGTTATGGGAAGCAACTACGGTCTGTTCCCCACACCCACAGAGAACATTTAAAAGCTTGTAACTGGTAAAAGAATAAGAGTCTGAGTATTATGTAGAAGGCAAGGAAGTTATTTAATCCATCAACACTTCAGTTTGTACAAGACCAGTCCAGTTAGACCACTGGTTCCAAAACAAGATTGTTTCACATGAAAGTATGCTTGTAACACAACATGTTAAGAATATTGGCCTGCAGCATTTTATATTAGGCCATCAATTTTCATCCCTACAAGAGCTTCAAACAAAATTTTGTAGTGCATGTGATATTTCCATTTCTTGTTCTAGCTGTAAAATATGACATATACAGCAAAATCCAAACAAACATGCACCTTTCAACATATCTTTTAGCTTTTACACGAGAACATAAGATTTTCAGACAACTTTGAATCAGGTTTATATAGGGATGATTACCTGGAAGGAGTAATGTTTCATGTAGTTGTCCAGCATCTTGCGAACTTGTTGCTCCCTCCGCCCATGCAATGTGCCCCTTCCATTTGGCTGTGGAGTATAAAAATAAGAGAAATTTTGTCTGGACTGAGAGCAATTTTGACATATCACTAAATATGCAGAGTGATGATACACAGTCTGGTCAAACACATCATCAGACACGTAGGATGTCAATTACCAGTCTGGTCAAACAAACAATGTAATCACATACAGAGGGCAACAGTGGCGGTGGGTGGACCAAAATTAGGGTGGGGCTTAGGATGCTTCCACTTCTTTACCACCAAATAGCAAGCAATAAGAACTAATACTGATTGTGCTATACTCACTGTGAACCATGGTTTGAGAACCATTCAAATGAAAAGAGCCACCTTTGTCTTCCGTCTCTTTGTTCTAAGGTTAGATTATTCTGGATGAAAAAGTTGCCTTAAAAGTGATTCAACGGGATTTATAACTGTTTAATCTCAGTGGCACAAACACAAACATGCACACACAGTACTTCAAACATATTCGGTCCGTAAACTGGACAAGGCGGGTAGTAGCAAAAAGTAGAACGCACCTAACAAAGGTCCAATGAGCGCATATGTATGTGTCATTGGGGGAAAGTGTGTCGAAACTTTCACCCCATTGTCAGAGCTAGGAGAGTGTGAGCCCTCAGTACAATGTTCTTTTTTTCCAATCTTCTACCTTTTTACAAGAAGAGTATAATTATGGTAGGGCCATAAGAAAGGGCTCATCCTTTGCTTAGCCCTAAAGACATTTGATGGGCTGTTAGAATACTACAGTTGTAAGCAATGACAACAGAGATTGGATAAACGTGCAAGCCAACAAGTTGATCACTCAATGTTCATTGTGTGCGATCATAATGGTTCCAACTGCTTATTTCGTTATTTAAGAAACTTTCATGTACTTTGGGATAGAGTTTGAGGAGGGGGAGGGCTCAAGCCCGTGAGCCCTTCACTACTCACCGCCACTGGAGGGCAATCAAACACAGTCTGGTTTTTGTTTTAGTAAGAGTTTTACGGAACTTATAATATAATTAGGTCATTTGATTGCCAAAGATTGGAGGTGTCACAAGAGAGTAACAAACACAAAAAAGAAGGAGAATACAGATGACAAATGTATTAAAATACACTTTGGTCAAACACATAGTCAAGCCAAACACACAATGTCATAACATACAGAGGGCGATCTCTGGAAAAATACACAACTTCGATTATAAAATGTCATCACACATACACACACACACACACACACACACACACACACACACACACACACACACACACACACACACACACACACACACACAGATCAAATACATCACAGGCTAATCTTAAACAATATTATCAAACACATGCCATGAAACACATAAGATGATCAAACACAATGTTATCCAACACACAGACTGGTCAAACACATAATATCATCAAACACACTAATAAATAAAGCCTAGTATGCCCAAAGTCAAATTGGCAGGACATGAGAATCTTTTTACTGCGTACAAATTTGGCTGTGTACATGTTTTAAATACAAAGAATATAAATGTAAGAAAAAATTCAGAACCTGAAAATCTGTTCGCAGTTTGCATATTACGCTGTATGCATGTTTGCTTACACTATATCAATAATGTATCCCTTAGGACTGGAGACATTGTCCAGTTCCACTTCTTTTAATGCATACAATGTAAACTTTAATACTTTAAACAATACATGTGGTACGCAGCAAAGCCTTCTTCGCTATTGGCCTATGATGTATTAAGTATAAAGAATGTCCTTTTTTGCTTTTGAAATTATAAAAGAGAGCTCATTCAGTTATAAATGACTACATTTATCAGAAAATTAAAGGGCAAAAAATATGCTTTCCCAGTTTTGCCAAACCTTCAATTCGTGAGACTATTCTTTTTTATGTAAAGTTACAACTTTATGGCAATAAGAAAAGGAATAAAACTTCAGTTTTGAACAAAAAAAGATCAAAACAGAAAGACAATGAAATATATGTTTGTGAATGATGACCCATTATTTCACAATTCAGAAACTGATGTAACAGCACACCATTTTGAGGAAAATACCTTCAGGTACTTCAACAAAGAGATATTTTTTTTTAAGAGGAGCTGAGGAGATAGGTGACTAACCCCGTGCATCTGTGTGAGCTGCACGCGCACCTCAGGCTGGCTGAAGTAGTGCTTGAGGGCACGGTCATGGAGGCCCTCATACTGAAGTGCTGGACGCTGGGAACACAAAACAGGCACAGATTACTTTCATGTGCTTTCGATTCGTTTGTTTTTTGATAGTTTGTTTGAGTTCTAGCTTGAATCAAACAAAGAACATTTGCAGCCATAGTCTGCGTTACTCAAAAATACTCCTAAAGACAGAAAGTATTAGATCACCAAAGAAAAAACAAGTTACAGCGTTGATATTATTTTTGCAGAATTCAATTATCTCCAAAGAAATGAAAAATCTTCACCATGATATTGACAGGTTGAATAGTACTTAGAAAAAGTACTCTCTACTTTATCTCAGCAAGTTATGCAAAAAAATTGATATAAAGTGCATCAAGATAGTGCTGGGTCAATGAATGATTGCACCATGGTGGGCATGTAATCTAAGAGAAATGACTACAGATGATTAAATTAAAGAATTTCACAAACAACAGAAATTGTGCTAAAATGGTAGCTATTACCCCTCCATAAAGGAAAATCCTGGCTGGCACCAACTGTATCAAATGAATGAAATGGCCAATATGCATTGGGTTAGCTTGATAATTTTCCGGAAGGAAATACATTACCTTTATTCTATCATTATTATTACTTCAAAACCATTCTGTGACATGTGGAGCATCTGTGCAACCCTCATTCAGATCTTGAACTAATAATTCCCATCAATTAGAAGAAATATCTACTCATAGGCAAAGTATACTTTGTTGATAATTGTTCTCAGTCAAACTTCCATTCTTGCCAATCTTTTCTTCAGACACCTTTTCTAATAAATTCTTAGTACTAACAGCAACATTCAATTAATTTCAGAATACTAGAATAAATTACATATTCGACAATCTCACCGCTTTCAAAGGAGGGTGATCCAGTTGGGGTTGGTGCACATCTGATAAATCAAAGCCATCCTCTAGACGCTTGATCTCAAAGTAGTATTTCCTGGATCGTGAAAACAATTTCACTTTGTGAATATTTATAACTACAGCTTGCGCAGGTCCACTGAATATTAAGTATCCTAAGCTACAAACATTATGGGTTTTTAAGCAGAGGGACATATTTCTTAACTCTGTATTTAATGTACTATATATTGTAGAGTTCACAACAATACCAGTTTTAGAAAAATATATGAGAAGATAACCGCTAAAAACCAAAGGAAAAGAAACGGACAAACTCTAACAGAAAAAGGAATGGAAACGTCAAACGAGATCTAGAACAACAAAAATTGGAACGTGGAATATATGCTGATTAGGAGACTAGGAACCACAAATCATTGATTTAAATGAAGCTAGAAAGATTGAGATTTTGGGAATTGCTCATGTCAGGACAAAGAAGTCCAACAGCAAACAGAACTACAAGAACTACATCTTACTTTAGAGCGGAACAAAAGGAATGGAGAGAGCAAAACATGGAGTAGGCTTTATTGTTCACCAAGAAAGAGCAAAATGCATAACAGATGTACAGTATATCTCAGAGCGGATCATCATGATGAAAATGTCAGGACAGGTAAAACAATCACATATATATATATATATATATATATATATATATATATATATATATATATATATATATATATATATAAACAGATATATGCACCATGCAATGACTCATACCCGAAAAACAGCGAAAACAGTTTTATGATCAACTGAGTGATCTTTTAAACACCGTGGATGACAAAGATGATGTGACAATCATGGGGGACTTTAACGGCAGAGCGGGATCAAGGAAGCCATGTGGGAGAGATACATGGGACCACACAGTGACAGAGAAACAGATCAAAACAGCAGTGGAGAAATGTTATTAAAGTTATGCGCAGAACATGACCTCGTCATATGAAATACCTTCTTCCAACACAAAAGGAGTCACGTTAAAACTTGGTACAAATGGAATAACCTTAATACAGCATCTCAAATCGATTTTATCCTGGACAAAAGATCAAAACTGAGAAACATCAGAGACTCAAGAGTGATACCCAACTACATCATAGACACTGACCCCAGACCAGTCATCATAACTACCGACACACCAAACAGGAAAAGGCCAGAAGCAAGGAAACTACAAGAAGGCGTGAATCTCAGAAATATTAATGACGATACCAAAGATAAGATACATGAACATATGAATTGCTCAAACAACTGGGAGACATTGAAGAGGAATGGAGCCACTTCAAAGCAAGTGTGAACAAAGCATTAAAAGAAGAGTGCGGCACCAGGAAAACAGGAGGGCAGAAGAGGAAAACAACTATATCGTCGGCAGAGAATTCTAACCGTCTAACTCCAAATTTTCTCGAATTGCTTTTTTCCTTAAAATAGATTGACATAACGAATGGCTACGTCCTATTAAAATCTAGAACAATTTTGACAAACAAAAGTCTTGTTTTAAAGAGAAATTCTAACCGTATATTCCGACTGGCTTTGGTGACTGAAGAATTCTAACCGTCTAACTCGTTTAGGTAGCTCGCCATTGTGGATCACGGCGATAAAGTTTTGCTCTGATAGAGGCGTTTGATTTTAACTAAATGTAAAATCAGAAAAGGTTGCTTTTGTTAAAGGGTTGGTTGACTGTGTCGAGCCTGTAGAGAAAAAGGAGAGAGAAAGCAGAAGATCGTGGTCCATGAAGTACCATCTGCGAGTGAATGGGGCCAGAGTCAAAGAGTGCACGGTTTTCTTCTTAAGTCCTGTACTTTGTTACTAGTGTGTTCACATTGTTCTCACATGTGGATTGGGTGTAGCAGAGGGTGAGGTTCCAGTTCAGAGAAAAAGGGTTAGGGAGGAGACTACAGCATCAAAGGTACTTAAACAGTTTCTTCGTGATCTGCCCAAGTTGCCGTCTCACTATTGCCGAAGGACTCCAGTAAGTTATACTTTGAACCTGTTTTCCAGAGCTTGCAGGAAGTGTACCGCCGTTTGTATAAAGAAAAGTATGAGTGGGGGGGGGGGTACTTTCTACCTTCAAGTTTAAAGAGAAGATCAATGCTATGAACCTGTCATGGTTCCATCCTCGAAAAGATAGGTGTGATCTTTGTGTGGGCTTTGAGGAGGGGAATGTGGAAGAGGGAGCATACAAAAAAGACAATAGACAAGGAAAAATGCATGGGCAGCCCCAAAATCAAATACATGTACATCAAAATGGACCAGCAATCAGTTCTGCTATATCCACGCACCAATGCTTCTGCTTTGTACTACAAGACGAAATTGAATGTACACAATTTCACAGTATAGGAACTAGAGAGCAAGGACTGTGTATGTTATGTCTCAAATGAATGCGAAGGTGCTCTGACTGCAAATAAATTTGCTCCTTGTGTGGCTGATTTTTTGTTATCTGATTTGACTCCAGATCATTATATTCAGATGGATGTGGTTGTATCAGAACTGCAAAGTCACAATGAGTTCTGCACTGTTACATTTCAGCTCTGTCAATGGTAAAACTGTAACATTTAAATTCCTGGAGAAGGGCTATACACAGATGGAGTTGGACAGTGCTCACAGCACATCTACTACCCAGCTGATTATGTCAGGCTAATAGAAGAAAGTAGGAAAGTGAAGCCATATGTAGTCAAGTATTTGACTCATTGTATCTTTTCTGATTTCATCAAACTAACCAACCAGAGTTTACACACCAGATGGTCAAATTGAATACAAACTGAGATTTGATGATGACTGGTCACATCTGCCTTTGAAGCGTGGCGAGTCCACAGACATTCTCCATAAAGACATGAAGGGACTGCCTCTGTACCAGGGTAGAAAGTTTAATTCGTCCATAGAGAACTTTAATAACACATGCAAGAAATTACGTCTGTTGTGCCATCTGACTACCACAAGTTCTATGACAATCTAGAATTGAGTACGTCACCAGTGCGCAAGTCAAAACCCACGGTTAAGTCTAATTTGATATGCAGTGTATTGTGTTTTGGTTTATGTAGTTTATTTTTAGCCAACCAGAGCTTTAGATTCATTGGGTAGAGCATTTTAAAGCCTCATAATGGTGCTTGGACAAGAGGATAATTCATTCCTGTTGACACTGGATGCTGCTATGGCATACCTCATCTTGATGACTTTCTATGTAAAATGTGTTATTTAATTAGGCCATACATTAGTTGGGGATGCATTATATGAGGTTTAGTTGAGCTTTAAAAAAATCATATTACTTCTAGAGTCTTCCAACCAAGTTAAACCATGTTTTTAGAGTTAGAAGCATTTCAGTTTCTTCCACTGGAGAACTGATAGGTCGCTTTTCAATCTTGCTCGACTTCGAGCCAAGACCAAAATCAACAAACCAAACAAGAATACGAGACCTTTTCTTTGCCGGTGATGCTGCTGTTGTCGCTCATAATGAAGCAACCCTACGAATAATCCTGTGTTTAAGAAGATTGAGATGGCTGGGCCATGTCAAGAGAATGAACGACAACCGGATTCCGAAGCAATTTCTCCATGGACAACTTGCCCAGGGAAAGGGACCAAGGGGAAGGTCAAAACTGAGGTACAAAGACATCTGCAAAAACAGATTATCTAAGCTTGGAGTAGATGTCAGCATCTGTGAAGAAATAACCGAGGACAGGAAAACATGGAGGAAAATGATAAATGAAAGACCTATTATGCTAGTGACTAGAGAGCAAGCACTGCGGCAGAATCTGTACTTCAAACAGGAAAAATTAGCCATAAAAGAAGCTCCATGAAGACAATTCGTATATGGAAATTCTTCTCTGCCCCCCCCCCCCTCTCTCTCTCTCTCTCTCTCTCTTTCTCTCTCTCTCTCTCTCTCTCTGTCTCTCTCTCTCTCTCTCTCTCTCTCTTTCTCTCTCTTGTAGCTAGACAAGAAACCAATCCTTCTCACAATTTCCTTGAGAATGGAGGATCAAATAGATCTAGTAGCTTTATAGTAAAAACTTAACGACGCACTCAATCTGTCGACAAGCCCATTGCCTAATTAGAATTATGTGGGAATAAAGTGCGACGTTCAGTTTTAGATATAATAAAACAGTATTATTGTTAGATTCTAGATCTACAGTACTATGTAGTACTAATTAGAACTTTTATAGTAGGCTTCCTGTTGGATTGACTGCAGGTGTAGTCATTTCGAGTTGTTCGGTAACACTAACGTGTCACGATGACTGAGTTAGACGTAACGAAGCGCATGGCGTCCCCGCCGGGTTGGAGAATTCTAAACGAACAATTCATTCGTCGACACTTGGACGGTTAGAAATCCAAAACTGAGCGGTCTATCCGTATAACTCTGGTTTAGCACTTAAAATAATAAAATTTCGGCAATTTTGTTTTAAATACTTAAAAGTAGAGTCATGTATTCCAGTCTAGCGCATTTAAAGATAGTAAATCCCCATAGGAGCCTTTGAATTCAGTTTTTTGTCTCTCCTGCAAAATTTACGAAATCGGAGTTGGACGGTTAGAATTCTCCGCCGACGATATGGTGGAATGACCAAGTAAAGGAAGCCATCCAACTGAAGAAAAAGGCATTCAAAAAATGGCAGAAATCAAAGACAGAGGAAGATTACATCTTATACAGAAAGGAACGCCGCCAAACAACAAGGGCAGTAAAAGAAGCTAAGAACAGATCCTGGATAGTAAACGGAGAACAGCTGGCAACAAAATGTAAAAAAGACCCCAGATAGTTTTACAAGAGCGTTAAAAGCATCAGGATGCAGGAAGAACCATTCAACTCAACTGAATTAGTCGTCAATGATGAGAATGCAAACCCTATTTTCAGTAAGCCAAAGATTAAAGAAAGATGGAAATGCTATTTCCAGGAGCTGCTGAATCTTACAGGAGAAACAACACCAAACAGCTTCTCACCAAAAGAAACCTTTCCAGAACCATCACTACTGCTGAATGAAGCCCAACATGTTATAAAAAAAAGCCCCACAAACAAAGCACCAGGCGTTGATAACATCACAGCAGAAGAGATCAAGCTAGGCGGCCATATCAGTGAACTCTGGCTATGGAGGATATTTAACGAGGCCTGGGCGACAAAAACAACACCTGATGACTGGCAATGAGCTGTCATTCATTGTACCCATTTGGAAAAAGAAAGGTAACAAAAGAGACTGTGGAACCTACAGAGGAATATCCCTTCTCAGCCATATGGGCAAAATGTTTGCCAAGATACTGGAAATGAGAATGAGACAAATTGTAGAGACTCAACTCAGTGAATCCCAGTTTGGCTTCAGAAAAGGCGGGGGCTGTACTGACGCTATTTTCCCATTAAGACAGTTGTGTGAGACTGCTATTGCAAAAGACAAAGACCTCAATATTGTCTTCGTGGATCAGGAAAAGGTGTTCAACCGGGTAGACAGATGTCAACTTTGGGAAGTCTTAGAGGAATATGGTGTAAGACGACAATTGCTGGAGAACATCATGGCACTTTATAAAAACAGCCTGTGTGCCGTAAGATCAAGAGAAGGACTATCGGACTGGTTCCCCATCAGGTCTGGGGTGAGACAAGGGTGTGTTCTCTCTCCGCTTCTCTTCATCACTTACATCTAAATAGATAAGATAACGAAAGCAGCAAATGACAACATAGCTGAACTGAACGAGCTTCTATTTGCTGATGACAAGAGTATATTTAATACAGATAAAGAGGAATTACAAAAACACACCACAAACTAAATGAGGAATGTAGACATGGCACCTGAACATGAAAATCTCCATCTCAAAAACAGAAGTTCCGAAGGTCAGCAGAAACCCAGGGAAATTCAACATTCTTATTGATGGAACACAGCTCCAACAAGTAGAGGAATTTAAATATTTGGGAAGCATCTTCACACAAGATGGATGTATGAACAAAGAAATAGAAACAAGAACTATGAAGGCAAATGCAGTGACCTACTAGCTAGCACCCCTGCTCAGTCACAGGAACATCCCAACCGAAGTGAAATCCCAGCTCATCAACAGCATCTTCATAAACATTAACATACCAGTGCAAAACATGGTCTCTAAACAAGGCACAAGAAAGAAAAATCAGTCCTTGCGAAATGACGTGTCTCTGCAAAACCATCATCATCACCAGACGTAGAAGAGACAGCATAAGAAACGAAACCATACGTCTACAAACTGGAATACCACCAATAAAATTATATTTGTAGAGCGCCAAAGAGTCAAATGGTTTGGACATGTAACCAGAATGCTCCTGAAACAGCTAGCGTCTAGAGCTTACAACACCCGAGAATCCGGCTTTAAATCAAGAGGAAGACCAAGAAAGACCTGGCTGGATGGGGTTAAAAAGGTCCTGGAACAACATAACACATCTATCACTGCTACACACCTAGCACAGGACTGAAACTTGCACCTCCCCTCCACATCCTAAGGATACCAGAGGAAGGAAAAAGTAAAGTAATAAAAGAAGATGAGCCCAACCACATCAAAAAGAAAACAACCTGGAAGATGCTGGAATTATCCGATAATTATATTATACAATAAACAGCAGCGGTCAGCAAAAAGAACACAATTCAGATCCAGCAAACAAACCAGTTGCTTGTTAAAGTAACAAATTATGACTGTAACAGCCCTAAACCCCATTTAAACCCAACAAATAAGAACTAGATTAGATCTAGTATAACAAATCATAACTGCAACACGCATCCCTGATCCCATTTACACTCCAACTCCCATGTCTAGACCTTAAAACCAAACATTTTTTCATGGCTTTTATTGGTATGGCGTCTTGGAAAGTCTACCCAGGTCTTATAGGCCGACTGCTTACTTAAACTTACAGGCCTTAAAATTAATTAACTACCAGTAGTCGCTATCCGTGCGAGGATGTGAAACTTCTAGACATTGCAAAAGAAACATAATCCATAGCTCAGTAACAAAAGTTTTGGACGTCGAATCGTCCTGTACAACAATCATGAAGAGTTGAGCATTTCTTCCTCAACATTCTTCATATAATCCATTGATAAACTTCTTCTTGATCGATGTCGCATTCCTTTTTTAGTTAGAAATCTAGACTAAAAATGTAGTAGACGCGCGACTCACCGTACGCAAATAAGCACACAATACACATGGTCACACTCACAACTTTTTGGCAACGGTCTTTACAACTTCGTTCGAAGACATCCTTGGCACATTTGTTTGACTATCAAAAGACCCTATACATTATAAAAACTCGATATTGCTTTCACCGTTTAGTCAATAGGAAAAAAAATGAAAGGCGCCACTTTACTTCATCATAAACAATGTGGTACTGCGCCTTTCAGAAGGACATAAATAGTTCCAAGAAATTTAATAAAATACAATATAATATGTTCATTTCTCGATCCAAAATGGATCTTATTAGTAATAAAATAAGTCGATATCAATATTTAAAACGTTGACACCATATCTATTTTTCTTATTTTAAGTCACTTGTTTTGTTGGTATCCAAGAGAGCGCATTAATACCCAAACTGCTCTTTAGAAATGGAAGTAACTATTTGTTAATTCTCTAAAAATGTATGATTAGGGTTAGTATAATTTTACGAAACAAGAAATCCGCTTGGGCTGGCTTGAGTTTATTAATTAATTGTTGTTAAAGGGAAAATAGAATGGGAGTGAAGAGCTTTTTTTTTTCAGGACAGAAAGGGGGAAGATTTCTAGTTACTTTTTTATCCTTTCATGTAACATACAGTCAAGTGCACGACCTAATGTTTATTGAACTATATCACTGTAAAACAAGTTTGTCAAGAGGAATAGCGACTAAATTCACTAAAACTAAAAGTAAAATTCACTCCTCATGCAGGAGACGACCGGGTGATTGGTGGAGAGCCTGTTTACCACAGGCACCAAAAGGAAAAAAAATGCTGCCGACTCATCAGTAAAAGTAAAGTTCAAGTACCTGCCTATATAAAGGGGCTCTCGTGGCCTAGAGGTTAAAGTTAAACTGTCCCCGTGGTTTTATGCACCCCGCATAATTTAATAATGTATTTTTTTGTATAATTTCAGCTTATTTTCCTTTATTATTCATTGTTAAAATTAACAGAATCACATAATTTCACAGTTTTGGGCTCAGTTTGCATAAACTCAGAATTCTTTTTGAATAAAACCACGGGGACAGGTTAAAGTGTTCGCCTCTCATTCAAAAGTCCCGGGTTCGAATACGGGTAGCGATCGGAAAAAAATTGTCTCAGATTGTCTCAGCTCTCACCTCCTGCTCTCTAGCAATGTAGGCTACTGTCGTCTGCTTTTGTCTCCACTTTCTGCCCCCACCCTCTCCACCTCCTTTGCCCCCTCCGCGCTTCCGACTCTTTCTGCAGCCTTTGTACTGCTACTCCTTGGCTCCTTCTTTACTACTGTCTTTCTGGTAGGAAAGATCAACACCTAGCCTTCTTGGACAAGGGCGAACAATCTCGGAGGTCCCGTGTGGAAGCGGCGCATGTTAAAGATCCATTGGTGGTCTAAAAATGCTAAGACTAAGAGTAGGCTTCGGTGGCCACCCGGGCAAAATTCAAAATTTCTTACCAACTGAAAAGGTTTAATGTGTCCCGCGCGCTCATTCATATGACCTTATGCAGTTGCGATGCGCCGCGAACACCCAATACTCGGGATAAAACTGCCCTGTTGGACATGTCGTTACAGGTACATGAGGAAAAAATACTGGGTAGCCTACCGAGGTTTTTGGGGGGTTTTGTTGTACATGTACTTCTTTTGTTGTTGTTGTTGGGTTTTGTTGTTTTTTTGGTGCTCACCACTCACCACTGCATAAGGCCATATGAGCGTGCGGGCCGCGGGACACTTTATATTATAGGCCTATATTAATTTTTAGTTCGGAATTAATTTTGAATTTTGCCCGGATGGCGGCCGAAACCTACTCTTATCGATTTTGGACCACCAAGGGATCTTTAACGTGCACAACTTGCAAGGTGTAGCAATAGAAGAAACATTAATGCAGGAGTCAGGAGCCCAGAAGAGGGGGCAAAGGGGTGGGGGGCAGAAAGTGGAGACGAAAGCAGACAACAGAACATGGTTAGAGAGCGAGAATAAGGAGGTAAAAGGAGAAAATTTCAGAGAAGATCATTTTCGGTCGCTGTCAGGTTTCAAAGCTGGGACCTTTTGATGAGTGAGGGACAGTTAAGGTGAATACCGTAATAAACCTCTTGACCACGAGAGCCCCCTCACCGAGGTTTATGCAAAACACATGTAGATCTAGTACTAGTATGTAGTCAAGGAGTTTAGAACTAATGGAGCCTCCTCTCTCTCTTCGCGGCGCCGCGAGCAGTACGCCGCGTTGGGGATCAAATAATGGCCACCGAGTGTGGGCTAAATCACGAACTGTGGCGTTTCTTTTTATAGAATTTTATCGGGCTGGGCCACGTTGTGGGGGTGGGCGGGGTGGGGGAATGCACGCAAGGAAGAGGGGATGGGGCTGGGATGAAAGAGGAGGGGCGGGCCTTGGGAAGGGACGAAGGAGAATGGGAAAAATTAAATAAGAGAGAGAGAGAGAGAGAGAGAGAGAGAGAGAGAGAGAGAGAGAGAGAGAGAGAGAGAGAGAGTGTGTGTGTGTGAGTGAGACAGACAGACAGACAGAGAGAGAGAGAGAGAGAGAGAGAGAGAGAGAGAGAGAGAGAGAGAGAGAGAGAGAGAGAGAGAGAGAGAGAGAGAGAGAGAGAGAGAGAGATTGTGATCAACTGACGAGCTGACGGATAATGACAGGGAGAAAAAATTATGTGTGTGATACGGACTGTTCAATTCTTTAAAAGTTTTATGTTATAATCTAGTTTAAAAATCAAAAAGATGTGTAAAATAAGAAGAAAACTTGTCCGAGTAACATAAAATTATCAAACATACCAAATTAAAAAGATAATCTTTCAAGATGCTAAAATATTTAATTATAAGAAATGGATGAAAATATACTTTTAAACTGAATTTAAGATATATGATTGCATGATTCTAGGCGTGCGCCATAACTAACTTTATGTGTAAGGAATAGCGGACACAAAAGAGGGTCAATGTTTGCTTTATCTAATTGCTAACAGTATGTCTTGGTCTATAAATAATATTATTGATCACAATAATTTTGTTTCCTGGTTTTCACAAAGTGGAGCGCACAATGATTTCAAATATTCCACAAACAAAAGAGATAACAGCACCCTTGGAGGTGTGATCGCATGCATGAGCGAGGATAACCTTTGAGGGTTTTTTTCCCCAGTAAAGTATGATATGGAGAGCAACGTTTTTAGTCCCTTATTACACTCCAGAGGGGGATAATTTATCTTAGTGATGACTCTTATGTAGTAAAATTGGTTGTTGCTTTGTTTTGTTTATTTTTTAACAGCAGAATCTTAAGTGAACCGGAATTATTGATTGTGGGATCTTAGGTGAAGACTACAACAATAGAATTAAACCGAGTATAGTTCTATCTAACAAGACTCAAACTCTTATCCACCCCACCCTACCTTCTCCCCTCATCTGATATGGTTTGGTCTTTCTTTAACATAGAAAATATTCATCATTATTGTTGTTGAATATTGATTTCATGTTCTAACGGAGCCTCTAGATATCTACATTTAGACTACAGTAGCATCTAATTTGCACACACAAAGGAAAGCAATATCTTTAATTAAAATGTATAATATGTATATACATACACACACATAATAATTATATATATACTCATAATAATTATATATATTTATGAATACGAATACTTAAAAAAAATTGAGTATCTCGGTCTTTCTGCTGGGGTGTTGTATCCCTTTCAGCCTGGGTTGGCCTTGGCATAAAGCGCCGGGGCCAGCCTCTTATGAATTAATGATTTAAAGTGTGTTGCTGGGGGCATAGAAACACTTTTATTCAATTTTTTTAAAAGGGAAACAACTTAACTGTGAAAACTTCGGTCCATTGCAGCATCATGTCGGTTCTTACACTTAAATACAACACATATGCAAGGCATTTTTACTAATTGACTTGCCTAATCTGAAGGACCTCGGAATAAAACCTTCTTTCTTATCTAGATTTCAGTGCTTTAGTCGGGCAATCGCGCAGCGCAGGTAGCCCACGGTTCCGCCGCAAGAGAGGGCTCCTATCAGGCGTGCGGTGCCGCCCACAGGGCATCCTCCATTACTTTTAATCTCCTTGTATGTAGTATATACCGACTTATCTCCCCCCTGTTGGCTGGTTGTAGGCCCGTTTTCCACATGGTTATGTGTGTTGTTAAGCTATCTACTCGACACTTTATACTATAGGCCCATTTTCATTATGTTTAATCCTATCCGTACGTCGTGTTTTACTATCGTATCCATACAATGTGGGGAACTCTGTGCCACCACTTTCCAAACAGGAAATCTACTCGTTAATCCGATCCGAACGCTTTGCATAGCAGTCTGTCAAAATGATTTTTTAAAGAAATACCAGTACTGAAAGTTTCAAAGAGATCTTCGCACTAGGAGTCTTCTAAAATTTAAAATGTGAAGAATACAACCCTGGGGGTACAAAATGACCCCACGGCATACGGACAGGGTTAAGTAATTTCGCTCTTGCAATAAATAAGGTCATAGTCATACTAGATTATTATACAGTACAGGCGACTACGGATGAGTTGATGTCATCGGGAGAGTAAAAAAAAACGATAAACCCAACCGAAGTTCAACTTAACCCGTTGGGATCTGTGAAGAAGGGGTGCTGGGACCCGAGAAAAGGATCGAGAGTAACAAACACAAAATAAGAGGAGGAAGACATAAGGACGATAGATGTTTGATAGGTAATAAGGAGCATACCACACCAGAGTGCCCGCCAACCACCAACAAAGCCGCCCCCTGAGGCAGGAGTAAGTTTTGTCTACCACTGGGTGGTACTTGTACTTGTAGGCCCGTCTGTCACAAGGTGACATAATCATTGAAAGCTTATCTACCACAGGGTAACATGTTACGGGCCTGTATGCCAGTTGAGTAATGGGCAGGTGAGGTGGCGCGGTGACGTGGTATTTCATTGGTACTGTACTGGCATAACCATTTAATTTAATTTGACGCAGTGGAACTGGAACATTTTTTGAACATGTGAATCACAAATTATACTACGTTCCCTCCACTAACTTCCAAGGCAACTGTCTCTTTCTCCAATCAGGTTGACAAGTCCCGTTTCTTATGTTTTCCTCTTAATTTTCTATCTGATCTCTATGCTATGTGTTGTCTTTTTACATTATCCAGACACTAAATAATCATCGTAATGTAGATCACGCCCTTCTCTAATTATGTACATCCCCAAGACCCCTCTCATGAAGTGAAAAGTGTCCAACAGCTCAAGCCATTTCTTAATAATTCAGTCAGAGGTGAGATCATTGGTGTGGGTTAAGTAGAAGATTTGAATTGGGGCCTCCGTTTCCCACAGCTTGATTTAAACTTAGAACAAGTCTTACAAAGGCCAACATTTTGGGCCATTTTTCTTTCATTTTTAGGGTACAGGGGTGTGAGTGTGAGGAACAACCTCAAGACTCTGGAATCAAAATCGTTCTACCCTTCGATATGCTTGGGTAGATATAATGCAAATGCTCAACTTTGGTAAATACTGATCCATTTTCTGAAATCTTACTATTCGAAGCAAACTTATACAAACACACCAGCAAGTCACAACTTTGAATTTGAATAATCTGTCCATGCATGACCTATAACGCCTGTGATTGCTAAGGTAGTAATAGTCAATAGCATAATCACTGGGGAAAGCCATGTGGAATTTCTCCCCACGTACAAGAACAGACATAACGACCAATTTTTGGCATGTTGTCTTCAAGTGTGTTTCGTCATGCAGCTCAGTGTAAAATGGGAAACAACCGACATATCTCATAGAGCATAACATCACGCAACACAACCCATTGCCACACATGAAACACAACATCATCATAAGGCATAAGGGGGCATTTTATTTGAATCTATACAAATACAAGTACACATTTAATGCTGGAAAGATGGGAAAGTGCATCAGCCTCCGAGTTCGCCATGACAATGGCAATGAGTGAATGAGAGCTACACAACAAACTGGTGAAGACACAGATGGCGACCCTATGTGACTAATGAGTTCAAGATCAAGCAGAAGTGACCATCCCTGCTCTCCGGGCGGAAGGCCCATTCTTTTAGACACTTGAAGCTTCTGATCTTTCTTGTTGACGTTCAACTACAAGTGTGTTCATGGGTATGTGAATTTTTGTGTGTATGTGTGTGTTTGTCAGAATTAATGAGTGTATTTTGTGTGTATATTCATGTTGATCTGAAGATTAGTACACATCATCATCATGGATGTGTTTGTGGAAGGGAAGGG